ATTTAAAGCTGGTAATATTTTAGTGATAACACCTTTGCGTGGTAAGGTATTTACATGAATGACATATCTATAAACAATTATTGTAACTTTTACAAACCCTTTAAAGTACAGACGAAAAATGGAGGGAAATCCTGTATTACCTATCAATGCATATGATATATTTATAAGTATGTAATCTTACCATAGAAAATAAAAGAAGGTTATTTTTGAGCTGGCCTGTTTTTTCTGCATATCTTGAAAAAAGAGTTCATAAAGGAGACCACAAGCTGTTTCATGACTTTCAAGATAATTGCATCCATTTGAATGATGATGAAAAAATAACTTTTTAATTTTGTAATTCAGCAAATCAGGCATTCACAAAAGCCCTCCATACTGTTTCTTTAAGGTTGTTATAATTTTCGCAGAATTTTAAACATTCTTTCACGGGCCATTTAGTGTGCATTCTTCCTGTGTCTGTACCATTGGTAACAGGGTCTAAAACCTGTTTTACCCATCAGAGGGTTATCATCACAGATCAATAAGTTGTGGAAATGTTTCTAGAGAACATTAATGTAATGTAGATGGATATCTAACCTTTTATTATCTATCCTGAGCTGTAGCTGCTTGCCAAATAGGAATGGTATACAGGATAAAATGGGGAGGTGGGGTAACAGTCAGTGCTATATGGAAAGGTCTGAGTGTTGTAAAGATGGGGTCTGAATGTTATATGTTGGGGTCTGAGTGTTATATGATGGGTCTGCATGTTATATGTTGGAGTCTGAGTGTTATATGTTGGAGTCTGAGTGTTATATGATGGGGTCTGAGTGTTATATGATGGGGTCTGAGTGTTATATGTTGGAGTCTGAGTGTTATATGATGGGGTCTGAGTGTTATATGTTGGAGTCTGAGTGTTATATGATGGGGTCTGAGTGTTATATGTTGGAGTCTGAGTGTTATCTGATGGGGTCTGAGTGTTATATGATGGGGTCTGAGTGTTACATGTTGGAGTCTGAGTGTTATATGATGGGGTCTGAGTGTTATATGTTGGAGTCTGAGTGTTATATGATGGGGTCTGAGTGTTATATGTTGGAGTCTGAGTGTTATATGATGGGGTCTGAGTGTTATATGATGGGTCTACATGTTACATGATGGGGTCTGAGTGTTATATGTTGGAGTCTGAGTGTTATATGTTGGAGTCTGAGTGTTATATGTTGGAGTCTGAGTGTTATATGATGGGGTCTGAGTGTTATATGATGGGTCTACATGTTACATGATGGGGTCTGAGTGTTATATTATGGAGTCTGAGTGTTATATGATGGGGTCTGAGTGTTATATGATGGGTCTACTTGTTATATGTTGGCGTCTGAGTGTTATATGATGGGTCTACATGTTACATGATATGGTCTGAGTGTTATATGATGGGGTCTGAGTGTTATATGATGGGTCTACATGTTATATGATGGGGTTTGAGTGTTATATTATGGAGTCTGAGTGTTATATGTTGGCGTCTGAGTGTTATATGATGGGTCTACATGTTACATGATGGGTCTACATGTTACATGATGGGGTCTGAGTGTTATATTATGAGGTCTGAGTGTTATATGTTGGAGTCTGAGTGTTATATGCTGTGGCCTGAGTGTTATAAGATGAAGTCTACATGTTTTATGATAAGTTCATAAATTGTATGATGAGATCATGAGTGTTTTATGATGGAATCTACATGTTATATGATGGGGTCTGAGTGTTACTGATGGGGTCTAAGCGTTATGTAATTTGGTCCTAAGTGTTATATGTTGGGGTCGACATATTATATGATGAGGTCTGAGAGTTGGGATCTAGGTGTTATATGTGGGATACTGCATGTCATGTGGGGTATTATGTCTGTTATTTAGGGGTTCTGAAGTTTTCATGTGGGATACTGAGTGTTATAATGGTGTAGGAGTGACTATTTGGGCCAAAAATGTGTCAGACATACTCTTAAAAAAGAATTTAATAATCACCTTAAAAACATAAAAACAAGTTTTAGATAAAGAGGAATAGTACTGATTTTATTGTAAAAATTAAGGCTTATGTGAAAATAATATTGTACAGTCTTGAGCCCAGCTATGTAATGAGTTTCACAATAAGTATCACAGAATAGCTTGTTTATGTATAAAATGAATATTATGGAATTATAATTAAATGTAATAGATATCACTGCGTGACATACTTCATTGTATACAAATTTTTAAAAGTTAGCTAAATTGAGAATTCGGATACATTTAAATGGTTAGTGACTTTGCTTTATTTCTGTGTTTGAAAACATATTTCAAAGGTAAAAAAACTATCGTAATATTATCACAATAGTCAAATGACTATTTCAATAATATTACAATAATAATTTTGCAGTACAGTCTTGTCTAGCTGATCAGAGATACCAACTACGAAACAAAAAAAAACATGGTGATGAATTCTGCTAGAGTATCATATTTCCAGTTTATCATCTCTTACATCTGTGTATTTTGTCTTGCAGTAAATCAGTTCTTTTATACAGAGCTGTAAACACTGGTCTTCAGCCTGCAAATTGTCAGACCTATACAGGATACTGCTTCTAACATCCCTACCAGGAAAGCACATCTAGAAATTAGCCTACTTAATCATGCAGAAGAAACTTGCTTCATATTGCGATGTACTTTATTCTGATGAAATATTTATGAAACCGTTGTTCGGTTATATCCTATTACTGTTTTTAAACCCACAATTCTTATCCCCTTGTTGGAGTAGGGGGCAAGTAGTGTAACGGTGATGTCTGTCTTTCTTGTTTCAAGTCATGTCTTATCTTCTAAACAGTTTTACCTCATAGTTGTAGCAATTAACATCAAGTTTTACACTTAATCATATAAAGGTGGTCATCAGTTTGGTGTGGCAGCAAATAAAGTTGGTTGGCATAGTTTGGTGTATCTGCTATGTATGGTATTAGAGGGTCAAAGGTCACATTTGATAGTTTCATCCAATCCTAATATTCTAATGCTTGAGAGTGGAAGCATTCATGTCTTATAGACTTTTTGCTACTTAATTTATTATTGATAATACCACAAAATTATAAATCAGGCAAGTCTAATACATGTATAATGAAATTTTTGGAAGGGGATGACTTATGTTTCACAAAAAATAGCTCTGTTCAAATACAATACTGAAATACAGAATGATGGCCTTACTAAAAAAAAGTAAGCCTGTAAAGTAGATAAAGAAAACTGGAATTTTGATGATATAAAATTGACGCCTGGGTGATGTCTGCTTCTGATTCTGTTTGTGATTAGCTGCCTTTCATACCTACTCTACTGGGTGTTTTATAAACAGGAGACTTGTTCCCATCTGCTTGGATCGTGCCTCTCAAGAGCAGCCCTCATACATGTATAATAAAGTATGTTTTTGATGTGTTTCCCAGTATAGGCACTGTACTACACCTGTGTAGTGTTTCTTTATCAGGTATGCCATTCCATTTCCAGTAGCTAAGTTCACTGGTATAGTAGATCTATTTTGGGAGCATTTAACAGGAGTCAATTAATACAATACATACTGGTATTGTCATTGATAAAGAGATAACTTAAACAAACATTTTTATATTGTTCTTTCCTTAAACTGTTGAGGAAAGCTATTTACAACAGTAAATTAATAACTGTCGTCAATTTGAAACTGAAAAAGTATTTTTGCTTTTTTGCTGACTGTTTCTTATGAAATATTTGCCACAGTTTAAATCAACTTTCATCTTTGAAACATGGTGTATACATTGATCTTACTCCAAGACAAAGTGCGATGTCCCAAATTCAGGGTCGGTAATCCCTTAATTACTAGAGCAATTGCCATTTGTTAAAATTTTGTGTCAGGAGCATTACTTTGCCTGCAAGGATGTTGAAATGTGATGTAAACATCAGTCATCCAAAAACAAGGTGCAGTGCAGCAAAGTCAGGGCTCATGATCCCTCAGTACTGAGTTATTGCCCTTTGTTAAAATTGTGTGTCCTAAGTATAACTTTGCTTGTGCTAAAACTAAGAGTGTGAAACTTGGTGAATACATTGGTCATACGATCAGAGTGTGCAGTGCATCAAATTCATGGCCTGCAACTCCTTAATTACAGAGTAATTGCCCTTTGTTAAAAATTTTGTCCAATAAAGTCGTTTTTGGGGAGCATTCACCGATACTTTTGTCATTAGAAATATGGAGTATTTATTATGTTGTCAGTTTGTCAATTCGCATGTTTAAGACACTGCTAATGGAAGAGGGCTATAATTTTCAGCTGTAGCTGTGATGAGTTGTGTTGTGGTTTCTTGATCTGTTAGTTTGATGGATTTTGGACTGATTTCTAGGCCTGTCAATGTGATGGAATGTCGACTGATTTCTGGGGCTATTACTCTTATGGGTTAATAACTGATTTCTAGAGCTATAATTATGCCTGGCTTAACATCAACCTTGCAATATTAAAGTGCTGCTGACATTTTCTGGGGTAAAAGTTACCTCTGCACCAACAGTGACATGATGCTGCATTGTAGGATGTGAAAGGGATGCTCATTAGATACGGGATATCTGATTGAACAAATAGCTTGACTGGTGAAGCTATGGCAAATATAATGGATCTGTTACAACATTGTCAACACTGCAGTGTTGGGAAATTACAACAAGCAATTACAGTCACATCTGCAGTGCCTGCACAATTTTTCTGTCCATTGTTACTCTGTTAGTCATTTCAAGACTTTCGCATGAAGCTAAACTTTTAAGGCCATGCGATGCATTTCAGAATAGGAAACCCCACATTATCATCAAGCTGAAATTGGATGTAATTGATTAACATGTGGGGCATGTAAAAGAAAAGGAAAATTTTGGGGAAATTTTTTCCCTATCGTTACAAAACTGATTTGCAATCAGTGTATTAATTTTGTATATTAATACCTGTAAATGCTTTCTTGAATGAGATTTCACTACTTGAAAGTTGAATTTTCTTTATAAAATTTTCTCATCTTTGTTGTGTATTTTTGTCATTGCAGGGAACAGATTTTAAGGGTAAAAAATGATGACAACATTCCTTTTTTATTGGTGGGAAACAAGTGTGACTTAGAGGACAAGCGTCAAGTAACGGTAGACGAAGCACAAACACGAGCTCAGCAGTGGGCAGTTCCCTATGTAGAGACGTCTGCAAAGACTCGCGCTAATGTAGATAAGGTAAGCATGTGATATGAACCCCAAGAACTGTCGCACTACTTAAGGACAGTTTTCTTCATAGAGATGTCTGCCATGACTCAGGTTGATGTCATTCTAATGAATTGTCACAGTACTAGTGGACAGTTCCCTAGTAGTGACATCAGCCATGACATAAATAGATACAGAGATAAGGCAAGCAGGTAATCTTCCTAATTTTCATAACACAGGTCATTCATCTGTCCTGGTAATGAATCATCAATAATCACAACAGACTAACCTATCTGACTGGCCTGGTACATCAGCAGTGCCAGGGATTATCAGCTATAGGGGCATTATCTATTCTGATACTTCCATTAGTCACTACAGTAATAGAAGTAGACATTAAACTGTTGGTATATTACTGTGGTATATTATAGGTAGGAATCTCCATGAAGTACCTGTGATATGTTTACCTGTGTGCTAAATTTAGCAACAGAATGATATAACCCTATAGTCTAAATATAGATAAATAATTAAACTAGTGTCTAAAACATAGATATGCTATCAGAACCTGACACAGTCCACAGATAATTATATGTTTGATATCATTTAGTGCTGATCACCCTGACATTTCTGCTGTTAGAGCCATATTTTCTTAATTGATAAAATCACTGTTACTGGGGATGATTGAGATTGTAGTATGTATGATTCATTTGGCCGTGATCATGGTGTAGATCCCCTATGATATTTTAGTTATTAGTTGGTCTGTTTGATAAGAATCCTGGATTAAAATAAGAAGCTGGAGTAAATACCGCTGATTCCCTGCTGACTTGAGATAACAAGTGTATGATGCTGTGAGAGGTCTTACTACCAGGCTCTCTTATCCAGTATATTTCACATAATCCAGCTGGAGGTTGAGTTTCAAACAGATTTTGATTTTTCTGTCTGAATCATTGGAAAAAATGGGTGATATATCTTCCTTATATATATATATATATATTTATCTTTAAGGTTTCTTGGACACTAATAGATAGTTGATTTTGACTGAAGACTTTTTCCTTTGTACCCCAAATGAAAGTTCTTAAAATTTGGAAATTTTTATGACATGTTTCTGGGACATCTAATATCTTTAGGATAGGCTACATCTATTGCCATGCCTCATGATCTAATGTCTTTGGGAAGGGGTTGATTGGTGATTACCCTCAAACTTGTTAACGTGTACAATAAGTTATATATAGCTACATTAGGTGGATAGGACGGTTCCTGTGGACCTGTTGGGGACTTGTTAACATGTACAATAAGTTATATATAGCTACATTAGGTGGATTACGCTTCCTGTGGACCTGTTGGGGACTTGTTAACATGTACAATAAGTTATATATAGCTACATTAGGTGGATAGGACGGTTCCTGTGGACCTGTTGGGGACTTGTTAACGTGTACAATAAGTTATAAATAGCTACATTAGGTGGATAGGACGGTTCCTGTGGACCTGTTGGGGACTTGTTAACATGTACAATAAGTTATATATAGCTACATTAGGTGGATTACGGTTCCTGTGGACCTGTTGGGGACTTGTTAACATGTACAATAAGTTATATATAGCTACATTAGGTGGATTACGCTTCCTGTGGACCTGTTGGGGACTTGTTGACATATTCAGGTTATATATAGCTACATTAGGTGGATTACGCTTCCTGTGGACCTGTTGGGGACTTGTTAACATGTACAATAAGTTATATATAGCTACATTAGGTGGATTACGCTTCCTGTGGACCTGTTGGGGACTTGTTGACATATTCAGGTTATATATAGCTACATTAGGTGGATTACGCTTCCTGTGGACCTGTTGGGGACTTGTTGACATATTCAGGTTATATATAGCTACATTAGGTGGATGGGATGGTTCCTGTGGACCTGTTGGGGACTTGTTAGCATGTACAATAAGTTATATATAGCTACATTAGATGGATGGGGTGGTTCCTGTGGACCTCTTGGGGACTTGTTGACATATTCAGGTTATATTTAGCTACATTAGGTGGATGGGATGGTTCCTGTGGACCTGTTGGGGACTTGTTAACATGTACAATAAGTTATATATAGCTACATTAGGTGGATAGGACGGTTCCTGTGGACCTGTTGGGGACTTGTTAACATGTACAATAAGTTATATATAGCTACATTAGGTGGATAGGACGGGTCCTGTGGACCTGTTGGGGACTTGTTGACATATTCAGGTTATATATAGCTACATTAGGTGGATTACGCTTCCTGTGGACCTGTTGGGGACTTGTTAACATGTACAATAAGTTATATATAGCTACATTAGGTGGATTACGCTTCCTGTGGACCTGTTGGGGACTTGTTGACATATTCAGGTTATATATAGCTACATTAGGTGGATTACGCTTCCTGTGGACCTGTTGGGGACTTGTTGACATATTCAGGTTATATATAGCTACATTAGGTGGATGGGATGGTTCCTGTGGACCTGTTGGGGACTTGTTAGCATGTACAATAAGTTATATATAGCTACATTAGATGGATGGGGTGGTTCCTGTGGACCTCTTGGGGACTTGTTGACATATTCAGATTATATTTAGCTACATTAGGTGGATGGGATGGTTCCTGTGGACCTGTTGGGGACTTGTTAACATGTACAATAAGTTATATATAGCTACATTAGGTGGATAGGACGGTTCCTGTGGACCTGTTGGGGACTTGTTAACATGTACAATAAGTTATATATAGCTACATTAGGTGGATAGGACGGGTCCTGTGGACCTGTTGGGGACTTGTTGACATATTCAGGTTATATATAGCTGTAGTAGGTGGATAGGATAGTCCCTATGGGCCTGTTGGAGACTTGTTGACATATTTATGCTATATATAGCTACAGGAGGTGTGAGATGCTCTAATTGATACATTAGTGTTGTCTCTAATAAAGATGCTCCTAAATGCTGACACTTGTGTTGTAGTTAATGATGTAGCATGACTCCATCACATCAAAGATTGATCCTCACTTAACCTGCTATTATTATACTCTACTAGTAAGACATTCTGGCTCCATACCAGAAATAGTAGTTATAGCCTGTTTCACATTTTTTAAGCAACCACTATTTTATAGGGTTATTGAGGTCTGGGCACTATTTGTAGTGTTTCTCATGTCCTTCCGTTTGTCCCGTCACATGATTCTGTCACATGATTCTGTCACATTGCATTTCAAATCAAATGTTATATCTTAAGAATCTTCCAACAGATTTGCTTCAGTGCCCAGTATTATCATTCTTACATTAAGTTCTACATCTTACCTTATGAAGAATGAAGATAGTCATTTGTCAAGGTTAAAGGGACAAAGCTCACTTTGAAAACTTTTTTAATACATCAAACATTGATATACTTTCCTTCATTGAAGTAAGGGCATTGATTGATGTCTTTCAGTCATTTAAGCAATTGCACCGAATATGTAAAATTTATCTTTGTCATACAAACCATTAGAATAAATTGTTTAAGAAGCATTCTGAAGCTCAGATTTTTAGATAACTATACATCAAATGTGAACTTTTACTTGATAAAGGTAGGTATACTTCAGCTACGTTGGATATAAAATGGTATGAAGGTATTGTGAGAAGATTTGTGGCCGATACTTTCGACTGTACCAATGTGAGAAGCAATATATAAGGGGACCCCACAAGTCTATGGCATTTTTGCAACTTGTTGAATACAAGTGTAAAGGCTAGTGAAAAGTATCTTAGTTTTTTATTTCTTTTTATTTTGTTATTGATAGACAAAAATTGAATGCTGTCAAAACAACATTTGTAATATTGTTTTTGGTGCTCTAAAGTCTTCAGATAAATTCATTGTTTCCCTCCACATATCTAACTGTAAATTTGTGCTATTCACTTGTGTGTCTTTTGATCAATCTTCATTGTTTTTAGATATGCATGCACATCAGTGCGAATTCTAATCATTGATCACAATTAACAGATGTGGTCGATATGAAGCAATACTATCAGCATCAAATCTTTGTGGAAATAGAATAGTTGTTCCTCCTGTGTAATGTTTTACATGCATTTAGCTTCTGACAAATGAACACACATCATCATTTGTATGTAATTGTTATCATAGTTGGTGCAGTGGTAACACACTAGCCTTTCACCTTTTGTCAAGAGTTTGATTCCTGTATTGGATGTGCAAAGCTACGGAGTCACCTGCCCAACCATGTGGGTTTTCCCTGGGTACTCCTTTTTCCTTCCAAGCAGACAAGCAAGAGTGTCTGATATTAGTGTAATGTTTCTTTTGCAGTTGTTGTAAGATATTTATTTTTATATGTATTTATCATTAATCAAGATCAGACAGTATTAATCATGAAAATGCCATAATTTATTTAAGTTTGACTAGAAACCAGCAAGCTGTAATGGCTGGATGGATTCTATTTGTGGACACACTGTACTTAAAAAAGGATATAAATTAGATCAGCTCCTGGTGAATATATTGCTTAAAATGGAAAATGTCAATTTACTTATTTATTTTAAAAAAAAAAAACCAACACATAAAAGTGTACTCAGGTGCCATATGTAAATATGTATTAGACATACCCAATAAGTATCAGTACAGCTAAACACTCAGAAGGTATATATGTGTTAAAGTTACCAGCTGAAAGGTATCACTACAAGTGTATAGAATACCATGCCGTTATAACCAGAAACGTTTTCTTAAAGGAGCTTGGATTTCGTGCATGTTGCTTACAGTGTGATTCATGTGTTAAAACAAGTGCTGGACTTAATGCTTTATAGTGTTAGCGAATGTATTCTGCATGCCTTGTATGTCTCTAATTTGGTAATTTGTATATTCACTTGTAAATCAAACAAAGTTTGTAAGTTCCCTGTAATTATCAACAGTCCTAATGAGGAAGTGAGGGAAAACTACTAGTTTTCTCCAACAACCCACAACAGATTTTCCTGATGAACATTTACTGTCACCTGAATTGTGTTACATGTAATATTTATGCGCACTAAAATCTGTAATCGTTCTTCGTTGTAAACTTACAATATTTCTTTTTTCTTTGATTATGCTACAGTTCCATTCATCATCTAATCTTTGTTGTGTACCACCCTAAAACTGGTTTTGCTTGCTTTGATTTTCCTGTTTTTCTTTTTTTTATCCTGTTCTGTTTTTTTCTCGATTTTCTTTTCTGACTTTACCTTTTCAGAGTTTCTATGATTTATTGCGCAACTGTAAAAGGTGTAAGCTTGGGATCTCTAGTAGAGGTGGGCGTGCGACCTTCAAGAAGGTTGATGCTAAACGGGATAGCGTCGTTCAACTGGAATCATCTCCGTATCCCAAGTCTGACAAGGGCTGCTGCATACTTCTCTAGCTCAATACATATACACCAAAGAAAACTTGTATTTATTCTGAAGTTTTATTATATATGGGACTATAACAATATTCGGCGAAAAATTGTGATATTTCATACTAGCACTTAACAATATTTATCGGAATTAATGACAGACTTTCATCAAATATTCATATTGTACATGTTTGAGGTACAGACATGGTAAAGCTCTTCATAACAATACATTACTGGTACTTGGATTATCAAACATGGACTTTAATAGTTCAGTAAGTATGGTTTTAATCTCCCTGTACTAGGCCTATAGCTGACTTGCATTTCTTAACATCCAGCCTCACCTGTCTCCACTCTCCTTCAACTTTCCTATCCATTCATGTCCCTATTGATGAGGACAGATGAAGCACTAACGCCACATAGGCTGCCTAGTCGCTGATCAATGTCTTAAGATAGTGAAACATTATCTTCACAACACCTTATACCCAGACTGTCAGTCCCTGCTGTCTCCAGCCCATCACAAAGACTACACTGTGCACCAACTTACAGGTTATATGGACATGGATAGATCGATCAGTGGATTTGTAAAGTATAAATGGTTAATAGGATATTCTCAGCACTGCATATAAGCTGAATTAAGCTTTCTGTCTTGCATGGATGGACAGACATTTCTTTCTTAGAGTATGATAATACTACTTTTAAAGAATTTGTTTCAAGTGGTCAGTTATATTGACTGATATATAATACTATTGGTATAGAGTCTTGACTCAGCCAGTGAAGTCCTGTTCAAAGGTATTCGGAAAGTGTGAAATTTGCATGTAATTTATGTAATTTTTAAACAATTTTGATTTCTACTACACCTTTCAAGACCTCACTGCCGGTCCCTGCTATCCCAAGGATATCTGAAACACCTACCCAGACGTCACTGTCGGTCCCTGCTATCCCAAGGATATCTGAAATACCTATCCAGACGTCACTGTCGGTCCCTGCTATCCCAAGGATATCTGAAATACCTACCCAGATTTCACTGTCAGTCCATGCTATCCCAAGGATATCTGAAACTCCCACCCAGACTTCACTGTCAGTCCCTGCTATTCCAAGGATTTCTGAAACACCTACCCAAACTTCAGTCCCTGTTGTCTCCTGAATCTCCACAGTCCCAACATACATACCCATACTTTTTTGTCAGTCTTTGCTTTCCCAAGCCCCAATTATTTGTCACAATGGTTTTCAAGACCATCCTATTGGCTTCCTTGTGTTATTATTGTAGTTCAATTGCAGCTCTGTGTATTGTTATAGTTGTTGTAAAAACACATTGAATATTGAAGAAATTCATTACATTCACTGTTTACTTGGAATAATATGACAATTAGAGCTGTCTTCAGTTTGGAGAAACTGTTTTTCCAACATCTTTCTTGTAAGTTTGACATGCTATATAATCTTGCAGTATTATTTTAGTCTCGCGGGGTTTGCATGCTGCCGTAACCATGCATGTGCATCCTATTTCAGAGCTTCCAAAATCTTTTGGCATGATGCACTATCTGCAAGATTACATCAATGTAATGTAAAATTTTGCATTAAAGTCCTATGTTATCAAAACATGTGGGAGGTTTGTGTAGACAGTAGTAAAACTGAAAGCTATACCTCTAAAACAGCTCCTGTGGTCTAACAGCTTATAATACAGAGGCCAAATCAGTTCTTATGGCCCAACAGTTAAAAGGGTTGCTACACACCTTCATACCTACTAGACCTAACATAGGCCCTGTAGTCCAAAAGTTTCTATGGGAAAAAACTTGCAAAATATAAACCCAATATCATTATTTTATAAATGTATCATGCTTTTAAGAATTATCAGAATATTGAAATAAAAGTTCAAGACTTTTATCGCTCTCCCCTTTGAGGAGGGGAGCAAAACATTTCTTGACGTCATGCCCAAATGATCCAGAAATGGATATTTTTTTAATTTTATATGATTTCACTTACATCTGTTTATTTGGTGTTTGCCAGATTCTTGGTATAATGCCAGTGGAGATAAAAGGGTTTTTTTCCGACTAGATCCACAGCTAATAGTCTGCCCTCACTACTTACACAGACACCAAGCTACTGAATAATCCTTTTTAATGCTCCAGACAGGAGAATGGTCAACTTCATTTTAGCACCTCAAATGTGTGGTACATACTAGTCTTAAACAATTTATTTAGTCTGGTATTTTCCTTTATAAGCTTACTGCTTGTCTTGTTTCCAATAGGTCCAAATCATCAGTCTTTCTTGTCATTTCTCTTAACTGCAGTATTTTTTCTGAAAAGTTTTTTTATGAAAATTTACAGAAGTAAGATCACTTCCTAAATTATCACACTTTGTTTCATCCCTAGTGGCAGTACGTAAATACAAAGTATAACGTTTTAGACATGATCCTTCCTGATCATTCAGAGACCAAAGTCATTCTGATTTGAAATATGAGTTCAGAGGTAACAGCTTACCAATTATCAGCAATATTGATTCAGGAGAAATAGTTCACAACTACATAAACTTAAAAGAAAATTGAAGGAAATAAAACCCAGAGATGTATTCATTAGTACTAAGTGATAAACTTTACATTTGGTAATCCAAATCCTGACTTTTTGAATTTCTGATATTTTAGGAAAAAATCATTGTTGAAACACGTAAAATCATATTTCCATGTATTTTCCAAAAGTTGAGTTTCGTAGTTTCCCATCTAAATCATTTGGATTTGATTGCTTTGTAAATGGAAGCTGTACTGAAATAGTATGTGCCCCCTTTTAAAGGTTCAGATGGATAATTGCGTGATACATTCAGGAAACTCACTCAGAATAGAATACATTCACTCCCAAGGTATCAAAACATATTTTTGGGATGTCTTTAACGCTTGTTTATGGTGTAATATATTGCAAGTGTTTTAGGAGAGTAGTGTTAGATATGTATTTTGTGATACCACACTTTTCTTCCTTCACTGCTAATTTTCAGTATTGTTTTTGTGAAAAAAAAAAAAACCAGCACTTTTTAGCAGGAATTGAAAGAAAAAAAAATCTGCAAATCAAAAGATGAATGTCTTGGTAATGCTTAATGTAAACGAATGAGGGGTTATTAAGAGGTTATTATGAAAAGGATATGAAGTAAATTCAATTTTATTTTGTTGAAATATTTCCCCTTCATAGACCAGTTAGTTGTCTTCTATGGTTACTCGCCTAGTTTCTGAAAAACAGTGATCCACAACTTTATGCCAGGGAGTGTCTTTCTTTAGTTCAAATAGAATCTTGATCACATGACTACACCAGTTTTTTGTCATTTCTTCATACATTAGCATATCAACATACATAATTCTACTAGCTCAACATCTAGGCCTAGTAGATTTATGTCAATGTAAACAACACTACTTACAGTCAATTTGAGAATATATGTGTGCATTATATTGTAGTATTTTAGCTTCTATCCCAAACATGAAGTTACACACCCTTAAACATCGTCATTAACTTGCCTTTACTTTTTCTATTGCAGGTTTTTTATGATTTAATGAGGGAAATCAGATCACGGAAAATGGAGGCTATTCGACAGAGTAATGGAAAGAAAATTCGCAAAAAGGAAAGCAAGAAAAGGAAGTGTACCATTTTATAAGGGAAAAGTATGTTAGGAAGACCCAACTGGTTTTTATAGAGAAACATGACACTTGGTGACTAAGTCATCACTTAGGAAGGGAGGTTACTCCCATCCTGTATTTGGAGTAGGAAAACAATCAGTCAACATTTGAAGACATTCTTTGTCCCTTTGACTGTCCTCTGACATCCCTGTTTTAGGTTCTTCCTGTGGCAAGTGGTTGTAATCCATACACCAGGTTTCTCTAAGATAATACATCTAAAGGACAGGAGACAATCTTGTTAAAGTGGCAAGTGACCCATCATTATTTTATGTAAAGGAAGGGGAATAACTTTGAAATGTTTTACTCAATAACCCAGTGATAACACTTTTTACCATTTCTGTGCTCAGTTTACAATTAATTGTTGACCTTTGTGTTGATATGTCTGTATGTGATGCGGAACTACTCCAGGAAGAATAAGATCTGATGGTAATATTCAACCAATTCACACTGAATTTTACTCTCACACACGATTCTTGAAAAACTTGCTTCTCTTTTAATATCCCAGCCAGAAATGATCAACCAGTGCAAAGAGAGACAACTCTAGATACCTTTGAAGGATGAATCAACTTATTGCCAACAACATGGTGCATCAGTATGCAGATATCAGTAGTTCATTGACATTTAATAGCATGCATGGTTAATTCAGTCTCCTCACCTCGGTTGAAGGTGGTTTACCTTGGACATCATCATTCTTTACTTGTGTGATGAGGACGATGGACAATCTTTACATCATTTATTTTCAAACTGTAAACAAAACTGCTATATATTACATTAAGATATCTGAAAAAAATGTGTTGACTACATAAAAGATCAGTTATATTTTCCTTTATATTCGACAGACTTGAGAACTGACTATAACGTAGGAAAATTGAAAACAATCAAAGATTTATAGTACTTCTATTTTGCTTTTACAAATATCTTAAATTAAATAATAATATATAAATTTTGCATTCTTTTTTGTAAAACTGATATTTTCACACATGAAACAAACATTTTATTCTAAATGGATCCTTGACTATAGTGGATATATAACCCTCCCTGACCTTCTGCCAGTATGACGACGACCTCTGCCATACATACATCTGCCATTCATTGTAGATTTTGACCTCTGAACCCTTTCAAACTTCATTTGATTCCGAGCAGCTCCTGATATATTGTCTCCAAGTCAATGATCTCAGTAGATTAAAGGTCAAACTGGAGGTGGAGGAGGGTGTGATTTCAATCATGCATGATAACAGCTATCTGTATTTTGAACTTTAAATCTTAGAGCTATACAGTATCCTTAATGTTGCTGCCAGTGATCAGTTTCTCTGTGAATGTTATATGTCATCACATAACATATAAATGGTATTTTGAATAGATTTCCAACCTAAGTCATATATACAATATTTTACCTTATTGCTGTTCATAAAAACTTAAGTATACATGTGTATCCACTGGCTACTGAGTCATATTTATATATACCTTATTTGTCCTGTGAGCGATGCTATTTTTTTTTTTTTTTTTACATCAGCAATGTAAAGTTGAGTTGGAAGTGTCTTTGTGGATGTCAACCCATGTATCAATTTTAACCTGAAATAATCTTCATATGGAGGTGTGGCGTTGTTCGCTACCTTAATAGTACATGAACAAGGATTTTCTGTCATTGTACATAGTGTTGAGGATGTGTGCTACCTTGTTGTAACATGAAGATGTATACTTCCTTATTGTGACTTGGAAACTTAAAGATGTATATTACCTTACTATGAAATGACATATCAACTTAAAATTCATCAAACATAGAGACTAAATGATGTATGCATCCTTTATATGTCATATGCCTCTGATTTTAGAATAGTATTATACAACAAAATGATCTTTATCAAAATTTGATTTGATTATCTGTCATTCTGTCAAGGTAGCCTATATCATTAAGGAATGTATGATGTCATAATGGACATCATGATATTATAATGGATATGTGACATCAAAATACACTAGAATGTCATGATATACTTCATATCATAATGTACTATGAAATATGACACAATGTCAGGATGTAATGATGTACAGTGTGATGTCAGCATGTTCTGTTTGATGCCATGATGTTCTGTGTGATGTCGTTATACTCTGATGTCATAATACACTGATGTTTTGATATCATGATGTTCTGTGAAGTCATGATTGACTATGTCATGTCATGTGATGTTTGATGTCATGTTGCACTGTGTGATGTCATGATACAATGTGTAATGCCATGATATAGTATGTAATGTCATGATGTACTGTGTAATGTATACTCCTGGTACTGTACCAGTTAAATGTTTATTCTGTTTGAATGTCTGTTATATACTGTGATGACGCATTACTGCCTTTTGTTGTGTAGTTACTACACAGCCAGTAGGTTATGCTTGCTATATCTGTACCTCAACCATATTCAAATGTTAGTTATTATTGAGCCCAGTGTCCTTCAACCTGGACGATAAAAAAATTAAGATAATCAGCTTTACTCATGAGAAACAGGACCAGGAAAATCGATTAAAAAAAGTCAGATACGCTAAGTGCAATTAGGTCAAACAATCAGGAAATCAAGTACTTTTAGGTCAAGCAATCAGGAAAACCAAGTACCCTTAGGTCACATGATCAGGAATTCAAGTTTACTTAGGTCACATGATCAGGAAAATGAAGTGCACTTAGGTCACATTAATCAGCACATAATTGGATAAGGTGTATACAGTATATTTTGTAACACGGAAATGGAAATTTGGGTCAAAGATTCAAGTAAATGGAGTAAAATTAGGTAATCCAAAGACAAATGAATGGAGCAAAGAACAAAGCGACTTGCTTGTCCTCTAGAATAAGCAACATGATACCAAATAATGCTGAGAAGAAAGATATGTTTACATTATTCCTATTCATCCAGGTTTAAGGGCATTGTCTTGGTGCAGCCAACGAAGCGATGATTACTTATGAGCAGGCTTCCTTAAAGGCCTTTTATCAGTATACAAGTTTAGTGAAATACTTTATTTTTAGTGCAACTATCTTACCTTTTGACTTTTGAGCGGAGCTTGAATGGTGCAAGTAGAGTGTGCCAGTATGTATGTGAAACAGGTGTTGAAAGGTGTGCATGTTGTGAACGATTGTTTTATAGTTGTGTAGTGTGTGAGACTCCTGGTATTCTGTCAGAAAGGGTATTGCTTGATGTATGTGTTGTGTGACTGCTAATATTATGTACATGTAGATACATGTGCATCACCATTGTTCTTGCAATATGTATGCATGTGTAATTCTGTGCTGTAAATATTATGTGGGGAAAGGTTTGGTTTGATCTTCTACATTTGGTTAACTTTCAGATTCAGGAGGTCAGCACTACATCATGCTATTTTGGCTAACAATAAATTTACATTAATGATATTTTAATTTCTCTAATAACATTATCAAAAAAGTCAAAAGAAATTTTCAAAGATTTCAGAGAAAATAGAGGCAAGGATATTGCCCAGTGAAGGCAATGATAAGTTAAAAGAAAATGACTTTCACCTAACTATTAGGTGGAATATCTAAAACATATTATAAACCAGAGCCCCACACAGTAATTACAGTATTTTACTGAGAGTCTGCCATCATCACAGGGCAAGCCCTGAATTGTATATTTCACAGAAGCTTACTATCAGATTTGTTAATTTTGTATGGACTGACCAATGCCATAAGTATGTACATCAATCTATAATTATTTTATACCAATATAATAATTAATCTCTTTGTTTTTAGGATATTCTTGAGTTGTACATGGTCAATTCATCTGTTAATGATACGTCAAATACTGTATCCATCTCACTCATTATTAATAAATGTGCATGAAATAGACGTAAGCTAAAACTATTAAACCTTCATAAAAAGACTGAAGAGTTGTGTTGTCTGTTCTGATAAAAATACAGTGTTATTTTGTCATTTTAGCTTAAAACATTTTTATAATTGTATTGATAACAAACCATGTCTTGTTTTAGGTTTAATGGCATGTTTTGGTTAATGGTCCCAAGAACAGCCAGGGTCATTTTGTGATGGAGTCTCCTTGTAGCAAGTGGTTATTTCATTGAACAACATACAAGAGAGCTATCACTAGCAAATCTAATGGGTAAAAATTTTGGCTAAAGACACATCCACAACATCAGACATTGGTCCTTTTCTTGGCTTTCTTAGAACACAAACCACACTCAGGAATGGAGTGTTGAACCAAGTACCTCTCCACTTCAGTTGTGTATACCAATGTTTTACCAACTGAGAGCTATCATGGCACCTTAGCCTGTCTAAATGGGTAAACAGTGATGTTTAGAGTGAATTCTAGTTTAAGTTTACATAGTTGACAACTAAAAATTCAGAATTCTACATTACATGTCCTTTATTCTTGATCCGTAAGACAATAGTTTATCACTAGTCATCCAATGCCAGGATTGGACAAGGGACATAACTCCTGACACCTGTACAATAACATAAAAAGCTTACATGGATGCAGTAACGTGGTACAGTTTTGAATTTATATGGACTAGCAATTGCAAGATTGAGATTAAGCAGTAGAAATTATTTAAAAGATAATTTAGAGATATAGTATTATACCAGCATTGCTCATTAGTTGTACAACTGGAAAAAAACGAGCAGAATCACAACGGAACACTAGAATATCTAAGAACATTTCAATATGAGATGGTTGATTTACAAGATCTGCAGCACTAGCAATATTTTGTCATTTATCTACACCCCAAATCATCTACAGCCTATATCAGGTCATTCTCATCGGCTATAAAGCTTATCACTATACCATCTGTCCTGAGCGAGTGAAATGAAAGGAAATAACTCTGGGAGATCAGAATGATATCCGGTCAACAGCTTCTTCCTTATGATGGCCAGTGTCTTGGAGGATAGATTAAAGTTCAAAAGGTAGATCAGAGTAACCCTCTTCTGATATGGGATACATCACCTCACCCCGGCGAGTCATGACAAGTTGTGTAGAAGATAGAGCCCAGACAAGATAAGATGAGGAAGGATGGACTTACAGAATGCAAATATGTAATCCTCTCCATTAACCAGTTGGGGACTAACAAGGCCAGGTGTGCTGCAAGTTTATACGTGTTTTGCTTCATCTTGATTATTCCAGATAGGCAATGTTATGATCTCAACTGAGAGCCATTTTTATAATCACAAACAACACATGATCAATTGAACACATCTAACTTCATATCGGAAGAGGAAACATATTTCACATGCAGATAATGGTGGCAGCCATGAAACTTCTCAATAATCTTCAAATAACTTCTCTCAAGCTCTGTGTTTTATGTTTATCTATCAAATGCTATTGAGAAGAAGGCCTAGAATGTCAAATTAATTACACGGAAACACCTTTGGTTGGGGAACGGCAGATTTAGTCCAGGTGCCCGCCTCCCAATTTGGAAAATTATCTTCATATATGTTGTTGCACAAGAAATCTAATGAAATCACAGATAAAATTTTCATGAATATCAAAAATTACTTTCAAAATTATATTGATATGTAAATCGGAAATCACAAAAGATGAGGTAGCTTTAGCAGCATACATTCCTGTTTATGTTAAAATATTTACAGAAGGCCTATGTTAATGTAATGTCATAAAGTACTGTAGCAATTAGCAGATATACATTCTATAACTGATAGCATATGTACAAGAATGTATTTACTGTATTTCACACGTTTTCACTGTTTTCTCTCTTAGCCTACCATCATCTGATGGACTGCAAAAGCCATATGTATAAAAGTCATAGAACATAAGAATAATTTGGACTAAATCAAAGAATGGACTGTACAAATCATCCGTCCATTCGTCCATAAGCAATCCTTGTTACCACTGTTTCTCAAAACCTAATTGTGGGTTATCATCATATTTTCATTATAATTATTATTGACTAATCAGATCAAAATGGCTGATAAACGCCAGGCTATATTTTGTTATCATAATTTCTGAAGAAATACTGAATAGATCATTCTCAAGCTTCATATGTATGCTTCCCTTGTTCCTGGTTGCCCATTGCCCATTTTTTGACGAATCAGAAAACACCATGGTCAACAGGCGGCCATTTTGGATTTTGCTACTTATAATTTGCTATCGGTATACCTGTAAGAGTGATCGGATAATTCCCAGATTACATATGCGGGTTCTTTCCGTCCCTGGCTGTTCATCATAGAAATTGACAGTTATATGTTGCTATTGCTATTTCTTGTGAACTGCAATATGGACTTTCAAAGTCCATCTGTCCCCTGGTCACTACTTTCGTATCGTCCATTAAGAAACAAAATGACCAACAGGTGGCTATTTTGGTCTTAGAATAAGATGCATTACCATCTAATAAATTATCTGGTCAATCCAACATATAGCTAGAAAGAGCGAATGATTATAAGGAAAGAAGGGAAAATAACGATCGCACTTTTTTTTTCTTGACCGAAATCTTTCAACTATTGTATATTACAGTATTACAGGCGGAAGATTTTGCAGTTCCTTTAGAATCATCTGCTATTATATCATTTGTTGTGCATCATTGAGTTTTCAAAAATCAAGCAGTATTCCTCTTGTGGGTAATTAAGCTGTCTTGTCTTAATGTCTTCAGTCCAGTTGTAACTGTATATAGAGTAATGTGTTCGAATGCGGTAAAAAGTATGAACCCATAGCTGAGAAATTGGTAGAGATACGAAATGATAATTGAGAAATTGAAGTGAAATTTATATATCATGCCAGTTAATTTATCGTTGCAATGATTGTAGTTTTTGTGTTGTAGGGATCACACCACGTTTATATGTTTAAGTTTCAGTTTGGATTCTTGTTAAGTTCGGAAACCAAATATAATCGAGGGAGGTCCGTATCCTGATCATCAACAGGTAATCTAAATTGATACCCGCCGTGTAAAACAAATTTCTGTGCATGTAGTCATGTTCTGTTCTACATCCTCCGAATTTACCTTCGTTTGAGGTAACGGAAACGTGCAACGATGGCTGTGCCAGAGTCTCATATCGAATGATAATTGAATTAGGTCTATATTTCTTTCCTATTTTCTCAGTCTTCTTTCCAAACGAATCCAACATGTCGAATTTCATCTTTCCCTGTGTCGAGTGTTCTTTTATAACTCTAGCATTTATACTTTATCTTAAGTCTAGTACTTAAGTCTCCCTGGACTCAGTCCCTTTTTTACCGACAGAATTTCATTAGCCAAAAATCTCTTAGCGTCACGAAAGGTTTCATATCGGCAGTAGATCAGTGATCGTCTGGTATAGCTACTTGGTCCATGTTTTCTCTCGTCATGAAAGTTTTCTGTTTCAATTTACTTTCTACCATTTCTTCAGTTGTATTTTTTATCAATTTTATTTTTTAAATCACTTCCGATTTAGCAATTATTTCCATCCATTCCTTCGTGCAGATTGTGTCCTACAATGGGTATCATTCCAAATTAAATATGAAATGTAGAAATCAGAAACAAGTTGGATATGTGGAAATTTGGGTTGTACCTTGACGATATTGTGGTCAAGGTCAACCTTGGTCGCTTTTGAAATCAAAGCATCTCAAATTTAGCTAAAAGGAATAATAAAATATAATGATCAGGTAGTTGAATCTGCTAAAATTGGCACGCGCTGATATTATCGTCATCATGATGTTACGAATTCTTTCTGAAGGAATGGCAGATGAAGCTATTCCTTTAGAAGACAGGGTCATGAAATTAGGTCAGTAGCATGCTGGAAAGAAGGACCTTCATTTTAAATAAATGACCTTGTCCCATTTCTAACATCAAGCTTGGCATGGGCGTTCAAATATTTAAACTCAAACAACTGTTTCCGGACTTAGCAGCGTTTCAACAAATGAAATTTGCTTAGTTTTTTCACAAGTACCTATATCCGTGTTAGTTATAAACCAGATACAAGTGTCCATGTTTTATTTAACGGGGTTTTTATGTGCATCCTTTCAGCCTACGCAGTGAGAGATACAGGCCCATCTACATGTATACTTTTTGCGGACCATCGCTCTCCAAACGTACTTTGGGTAATTGTAAAATATCAAATAAACGGTAACGAAAGTGTCGCGTCACGGGGCCGAAAAGTGCGGATACTGTTCACGAAAGCATCAAACACAAAACTAATATCTGTATTACTATATTTACAAAGCCAATTTTTTTGGATAGTTTTAAGCATATCCGTTGGTACATTTAATCAGGGACGTATATATCACGTTAATATATAGGTCCCTGACTTAATATAATATAATATCCTATAATAAGTTGATACTTTATGTAACAAAATTTTAAATAACAACTATGACAGATATTACTATACACATACATTGCATTGTTATTCTGTGAAATGATAATTTAATTCATTCACTAAAGAAGTAGACATTATATTGAAATAAGAACCTGTCAGTTCACTTTATAATCATTATTTTCGTTTGTTACACAGTAGGTTGTAAATGTCTTAAACAGACTGCTTATTAATAAAGATTATCCGAACTTCAATTTTAACTTGATTTAGCTTACGATAGATGCTGAAACAACTTCTATTCGATCTCCATATTTGTAGATAGACAACCATAAAAAAATCAACCTTTAACTTTGACGGGCGTATTAATTCCAATGGTCTGCTAATTACAGTAACGGAATTCCATAAAAAAGTATTCTTAGCTTAAAAACATGGTACGATGTTTTATTTATGCGTCATCGTATTTTTATACAAAATTTTAACCAATCAATGGTCCAGTTTCTAATTTACTCCGTATTACCGGAAATAGAGATAAGTTAACTTCCTATCACATTGTTTGCAAGCAATGTAAAATCTTCGGGGATGGATCTGTGAGATGTAAGTCAGTTTTATGTACATATCAAAGAATTCTTGCAGATGGTAAATATACATTTCGTCCAATATGATAAAAAGGTAATATTTCATTGTTACTTGTTGATTAAAACACACGAAGAGATCAGTCCAGATTATGTGATCGCTCACCAGTTTACTCATTCACTGATTGATACAGACTAACAAGGCTGCAGAAGTTACGTAATAACAGTTTCGCTATCCTTTTGGTGTTGAATGATTGAACTAGTTTGTCATTCACATGAAGTGAACCACCACCAACAATGCTGACTTTGGATGGGTATATTGTTTATATTTTCATCCGGTTGGGCGCAACCGTCGTTAGCAGCCGCCGGCGGCAGTGGCGCAACGAAATGTCCGAACCTAACCAAAACTACTGAAAAATGACCCAAACCTTCTGAAATATTATCCTAAACTAACTCGACATATTCAAATTTATCTACTAAAATTTTCAACATTTGTGATGAGTTGATCTCCTTCTCATATCGGATTGTCTATCGCATTTGAAATTATTGATATATTTATGTATATTTTCATATATTTATTTTTGCAAGATGGCATGATACACACATTTTCTTTCAGACTTTCACACGACCACATAATAAACATGATCTGTATGTGTTAATTCATATCATCACCTTTAAGTGCTCTACGGCCAAATCCAATGTGAGAACAACATAAATTAAGCACATATATATTTTTGGGTATGCTTCACATAGTTTGTTGCAGCAAAAATGTAAATTTATATCAAGGTATTGATATATACGTATTATATTTATATTTTGCATATCAATGCTACATGTATTGATGCATACATCACCTTTTTATGCCATTACATCAACAACATTTTAGAACTGATAACATAGATTTGAGTCAAAACGTAATTGATGGAGATTATTTTTCATATCAATAAACAAATCCTTCTTAATTGATGTGATAGAATCACTTTGTTGCTTCTTTCTTATCCTGATGTAGGGGAGATAAGCACTACACATCATAATCCGATATGAAAACAACATGTACTCAACACAAATGTTGCACTTTTTTGAGTTACCCATCATATTTGGACACATCTTATAACTACAAGTTTTGGATAAGTTTTAAGTGGTTTTGGATAGTTATAGGCACTTCATTAATAAACACAGCAGTGTATGATGAGGCTGGTACCATTGGCACAGCTCTGCATATTTGTATAAAGTCCTGCATTTGAATTGCACTATCTGCTCAGAGTAATAAATTTGTTACTGCAATGTGGGATAATTTGATGAAAAAAAATAAACATTTAATGCTCTTTTAAACTTCTGCAACATAAATGGCGTTGTCTTTTTAAAATGGTCCAACACAGTATATATGACACTAGTTGATATTTTCATTTATCTCAGGTTTTACCGTAAAAATAACATTGAATACCTAAGGTCAGTGGTTGAAATTATACAGCACAAAATTTATTCTAAAATTCTTAAAATTACAAAAGAGTTGATGATTAGTAACACCAACAGAAAAGTTGGAGAACAGACATAGAGTTATCTAAGTCAGTTGTTGGAGGTAAAATTCTTCACAAAAAATGCAAAATATATTAAACAGTGGACTATCAACCCAACTTATAATGATAGATGCTCTGATCAAATGAGTCTAAAGCATTCTGACTTTCTATTTCTAATTTTATTTTGTCTTGGTGGTGCTTTAACCAGGTAAGCAAGATAACTGTATCACTGCAAATACAATTTCATGAAATGATACTGCAAATTCAGATGAAAAGCACGCTGATAATACTACACAACAACCAAAGAACATACAATATATCCTGACATCAGGCACATCATAAGCCTCTAATAGTTCCACACTTGATATACAGAGACTATTATATCAGCACTTTGTTCTTGAGCTTTAAAAAAGATCTATGATTTCTCTAAAAAGCCAGTTAAACCAGCTTTGATATGGATTCAGCACTTCTGTATACAGCTACATTTCAATGTTTTAACATTGAGGTCAGTGCTGCAGGGAGCTATTAGTCGTCCACTCAAATCTTTGTCAGCGAAATTGATATAGTTACTGAGAATAATATAAGTAACTGGTGTGTGCTTTCTTAGGTCATTAGGGTAGTTTAAAGCATAATTACACATTGGTCATTTAAGAGCTATGCTTTGCAGCACCTGAGATCTGCACACTTAATGATATGAATGTACTTGCAGGAATTTGCCATGTGAAGTGGTTAAGTGTAGAAGTCTATGCTGTCTAGTGTGAAAAATTTATGGTTGGCACTGAGCTGCCACCATGTCCCTACAGGAAAGAGTGGCCCGGATATATTACACGCATGGATTGTTCTGTGCTAGTCATCCATACTCCATCCTCTGTCTGGTCGTCAGTCTCATGCTGGTCACCTTGTAAGTAATTATGCATGTTAAAATTAGTGGTGCATGCTATCCTGTTTCAATTATTCTATACAATGATATATTTTATGGGGCTCAAATGCCATGGTTTTCCATAAAAATACATTTTTTTTGTACATCTGATCTAATACAATGTAGTACTCATGAGTTTCACTACTGTTGAAATAATATCCATTCTCTTATAAATCATTTGAAAAAAAATGTGGACATGAGAATTTATTGATTAAAGTTACCTAGCAAATCAATGTAAATAATTTTTAAAAAAGCACATGAAAATAAATAAGCTTACATTCTGGTGGTATGTGTTTAATACTGTGATGCTATTATGTATACTCTTTACCTGAACTCTTGATATTTGTTCAAAAATAATACACATATATGCATCTTAGCCATTTTATTTGTCTCATGACAATGGCCAAGTTTATACAGTAATTTATTTCTTATAGTAGGTAATTATGACAATATATAAAAAGCTTCGGGCATATTTATTTGCTATGTATATAAAGTATAGGCCATGAATATTGATTGAATACAGCTCACTGCCTAAGGAAACTGTGATAATTGATATTTTCTTGTGGAATACTCCTTAAAGAGCTAAGTGTTAGAAAATTGATAAAATTCTTGATAATTTAACACTGTTTTATCTTCAGTGTCTAGGTTAAATAATGCATGAATCCTTGTGTCTACAAATAAGTACGATTTGTTATAGAATATACTTCTTTTAATTTTACTGAGATAGTTATGACGTTTTCACTGAAATAAATATCACCCTGACTGAGAAAAGTGTGCCTCTGACTGTGGAAAGTGTCTTCCCAAACTTAGGAAAGTGTGCCTCTGACTGTGGAAAGTGTCTTCCTTGACTGAGAAAAATGTCACCCCTGACTGGAAAGTGTCTTCCCTGACTGAGAAAGTTTAGCCCCTGACTTAGGAAAGTGTCTTCCCTGACTGAGAAAGTTTAGCCCCTGACTTAGGAAAGTGTCTTCCCTGACTGAGAAAGTTTAGCCCCTGACTTAGGAAAGTGTCTTTCCTGACTGAGAAAAGTATTGACCTTGACTGAGGAAAGTGTCTTCCCTGACTTAGGAAATGTGCCCCTGACTATGGAAAGAGTCTTCCTTGACTGAGAAAAATGCCACCCCTGACTGGAAAGTGTCTTCCCAGATTAAGTAAAAATGTAATGCCTGACTGTGGAAAGTGTTTTCCCTGATTGAGGAAAGCATTGACCCTGACTGAGGAATGTGTAGTCCATGATGGAGAAAAGAATTATCCCTGACTGAGGAAATCATAGCTCCTTACTAACAAAAAGTATTTTTCCTTACTGAGAGAAATATCACAACTTTAATGAGATTAATATAATCCTTAAAGTATCAACCCCTATCTTAGAAAAGAATGCCTTCTCATTTAGAGAAACACCACCCACATCCTGTGAAAAGTGTAGCACCTTTACTTAAAAAGATATACATCCACATTACTGATAAAGATACCAACCACTTACTGAGAAAAGTATTGTACCTTGACTAAGTAAGAGATTCTTTCATTCCCTTAGGGCTGAAATAGGGAGATCTCAGTCAGAGGGAAAGGATAATTGTTGACTAACATGATGAGTGTTTGTAGGTTTATTATCGCATTCTGAGAGTTGAGATCCCCTTATCTCCTATATGCAGGTAATGATTTAGTCCCAAATGCTCTTCTGGCTTTCTTATAAATGTTGTTCTTATCTCAAAGCTTAAGCTATTGCCAAGGTGATGTTATTGATTCTGAACAGGTTCACACAGATGATAAAATTATTGAACTTTTTTCTGTAATTTACAGCCTGCCGTTACTTTACGTCCCGTTACCAGGAAATGTACCAGTGGAGCACATCATGCCCTTGAGAGAAGATATTTCACCAACAGATTCTCTTCCTCCAAACCTGAAAGGAAACAACAACGAGGGCGAGCTGAAACCTAGATGGGTAGGACTGTCTTAAACTTATATAGTTGTGCTGATATCATACTAAGATGGATAGAGCATACAGAGTGTTAAAAGATGGCCATTAGTGGTGCTGAAAATCACATCAAGTTCGGTAGGGATTTTCTTAGTCTGAATATAATTGTCTGTAAAATCTAATTATGTATCATGCATTGTTTTATATTGGTTTCAGCTAAAAGGACCACCAGTTGGTTATATACAACAGATAACAGTCCGAGCAGCTGTATATCCCTGGGCATCAGAATTCCTCGCTCCGATGGATGCTTTCCGCACCCCACTCAGCAAAGTTTTTGATGTCATACGACAACTGGATAGCTTCATATTCTCTGACAAGTAAGAAAATAAAAAACTCCCTCACATAATACTACTGATTCTATCAATATTACAAGGAAAATAATATTTACAGTAAAACTCACTTGTGTTGAACACACTTTTATTGAATACAAGCCTTTATTACTGTATAGGTAAAATTGACTTTAAAACTTGTTAGAGAATGTTTTTTGTAAGTGTAGAAATCACTACTTGATAACTTGAAAAAGAGTGAGGATTTTTCTGTTTCAGGAATTATTACATTCAAATGGACATTTATGTTTGTATCAAATAATTCTAGGTATGTGTTCATGTTTACAAGGAATTGCTGTAACAAAGGAAAGTATGTACAGAATACTTTTAGAAGATGCCATAAAATTATGACAAAAGGATACAATAAAATGAGATGAATGGTATCATGATTCCATTGAAAAATACATGTATTTTGTACCAAACATGGACAAAGCTGCATAATTTTGAGCCATCTGAACAGGAAAATGTTACAGATCTCTCCCTGTTTAGGAATTTTTAGTATAGGGGTAGTCTCCTATATTGATTATTTGTCTGTTGTGTTAATTACCCTGTCACATTTTATTGTATATTTGCTTGGTTTATTGCCCAATGAACAGTCAGGTTGTAGCTGGTTGTTTACCCCCACTGAACAACATAAGAGGTCCATCACATGCAATCCACAGAAATTAAGATAAACTGTTTTGCTCAGTGACACCACCTTGTTAGCTCAGAGCAGTCTGTTTTTGAGCTTCCTTAGCAACCACCATGGGAAGGAAATTTAAAATAATGTACCTCAGATCTATATCTGAGGTTGTGTAATCCAACACTGTACCAATTGAGCTATTGTGACTCCTTTCCCCTATTGGCTGACATGCAAGGTGGGCTGGCGTTATTGACTCCTTTCCCCTATTGGCTGACATGAAAGGTGGGCTGGCCTTATTGACTCCTTTCCCCTATTGGCTGACATGCAAGGTGGGCTGGCCTTATTGACTCCTTTCCCCTATTGGCTGACATGAAAGGTGGGCTGGCCTTATATAAGACAAACTGCAAGTCTTGATACCAATATCAAGTTATGCTATTATGAATAATGATGTTTGTTTCCCCATGTTAAAAGACATAGCTTTAAAGGACTTTGAATTGAAATACTAAATGTTTAGAGAAACACTTGAACAGAAATATATATATGATGTTTATTTCAGTGGAAAGGATGTATCCTTGGCAGATGTGTGTCTGCGGGTGTCTGAGACTGTGAGCAGTAGAAAGGTGAAGGAAATACTCCCAGAATATGCTTGCTTGGAGGTATCACCTGCTAACTTCTGGGGTCGTAACAGGGAAAGGTAAGTAGTAGGAGAGTGAAGAACCCAAGTACATCTGTCTGGTGTTGTTAGCTGCTAACTTCTGGGGCTGTAACAGAGTAATTTGCTTTTACAAAGAATGGTATTATGTTTTGCCTTTCATCTAAATTGGTGACAGAATGACCATTCGGAAAACAAAGAATACCTGATTTTCAGTTGGATATTTTCAGAAGGAGGAAATGATATGTTCTGTAGGTCAAGGAGATAAAAGTCAGTCAGTCACTGAGATGTTGTATTATGATGTATTGATTGATAAAGTTTTATAAAGATTTTTGTTGATTGTATTTCAGATTTATTTCTGATGGGGATATCCTGCGAACAATCTTTCAGAAACGTGGACAAACACTTGACACCTCTCCTTACCTTCGAGGTACGTATAGCTCCTGACAAACACTGGACACCTCTCCTTACCTCCGAGGTACGTATAGCTCCTGACAAACATTGGACACCTCTCCTTACCTCTGAGGTATGTATAGCTCCTGACAAACACTGGACATCTCTCTTAACCTCCGAGGTATGTATAGCTTCTGACAAACACTGGACACCTCTCCTTACCTCCGAGGTATGTATAGCTACTGACAAATGCAGGAAACCTCTCTTAACCTCCGAGGTATGTATAGCTCCTGACAAACACTGGACACCTCTCCTTACCTCCCAGGTATGTATAACTCCTGACAAACACTGGACACCTATCCTTACCTCCGAGGTATGTATAGCTCCTGACAAACACTGGACACCTCTCTTAACCTCTGAGGTATGTATAGCTACTGACAAATGCAGGAAACCTCTCTTAACCTCCGAGGTATGTATAGCTCCTGACAAACACTGGACACCTCTCCTTACCTCCGAGGTATGTATAGCTCCTGACAAACACTGGACACCTCTCCTTACCTCCGAGGTATGTATAGCTCCTGACAAACACAGGACACCTCTCTTAACCTCTGAGGTATGTATAGCTACTGACAAATGCAGGAAACCTCTCTTAACCTCTGAGGTATGTATAGCTCCTGACAAACACAGGACACCTCTCTTAACCTCTGAGGTATGTATAGCTCCTGACAAACACTGGACACCTCTCTTAACCTCCGAGGTATGTATAACTCCTGACAAACACTGGACATCTCTCTTAACCTCTGAGGTATGTATAGCTCCTGACAAACACTGGACACCTCTCCTTACCTCTAAGGTATGTATAGCTCCTGACAAACACTGGACACCTCTCTTAACCTCTGAGGTATGTATAGCTCCTGACAAATGCAGGAAACCTCTCTTAACCTCCTGGACACCTCTCCTTACCTCCCAGGTATGTATAGCTCCTGACAAACACTGGACACCTCTCCTTACCTCCCAGGTATGTATATCTCCTGACAAACACTGGACACCTCTCTTAACATTTGAAGTATGTATAGCTCCTGACAAACACTGGACACCTCTCCTTACCTCTGAGGTATGTATAGCTCCTGACAAACACTGGACACCTCTCTTAACATTTGAAGTATGTATAGCTCCTGACAAACACTGGACACCTCTCCTTACCTCTGAGGTATGTATAGCTCCTGACAAACACTGGACACCTCTCCTTACCTCCGAGGTATGTATAGCTCCTGACAAACACTGGACACCTCTCTTAACCTCTGACGTATGTATAGCTACTGACAAATGCAGGAAACCTCTCTTAACCTCTGAGGTATGTATAGCTCCTGACAAACACTGGACACCTCTCCTTACCTCCGAGGTATGTATAGCTCCTGACAAACACTGGACACCTCTCCTTACCTCCGAGGTATGTATAGCTCCTGACAAACACTGGACACCTCTCCTTACCTCCGAGGTATGTATAGCTCCTGACAAACACTGGACACCTCTCTTAACCTCTGAGGTATGTATAGCTACTGACAAATGCAGGAAACCTCTCTTAACCTCCGAGGTATGTATAGTTCCTGACAAACACTTGACACCTCTCCTTACCTCCGAGGTATGTATAGCTCCTGACAAACACTGGACACCTCTCCTTACCTCCGAGGTATGTATAGCTCCTGACAAACACTTGACACCTCTCCTTACCTCCGAGGTATGTATAGCTCCTGACAAACACTGGACACCTCTCTTAACCTCTGAGGTATGTATAGCTACTGACAAATGCAGGAAACCTCTCTTAACCTCCGAGGTATGTATAGCTCCTGACAAACACTGGACACCTCTCTTAACCTCTGAGGTATGTATAGCTACTGACAAATGCAGGAAACCTCTCTTAACCTCTGAGGTATGTATAGCTACTGACAAACACTGGACACCTCTCCTTACCTCTGAGGTATGTATAACTCCTGACAAACACTGGACACCTCTCTTAACATTTGAAGTATGTATATCTCCTGACAAATGCAGGACACCTCTCTTAACCTTTGAAGTATGTATATCTCCTGACAAATGCAGGACACCTCTCTTAACCTCCCAAGTATGTATAGCTCCTGACAAATGCAGGACACCTCTCTTAACCCCCAGATATTTATAGCTCCTGACAAATGCAGGACACCTCTCTTAACCTCTGAAGTATGTATAGCTCCTGACAAATGCAGGACACCTCTCTTAACCTTCAAGGTATGTATAGCTTTTGACAAATGCAGAACAACTCTCTTAACCTCTGAAGTATGTATAGCGACTGATGAATGCAGGACACCTCTCTTAACCTCTGAGGTATGTATAGCTCCTGACAAATGCAGGACACCTCTCTTAACCTCCCAGATATTTATAGCTCCTGACAAATGCAGGACACCTCTCTTAACCTCCCAGATATTTATAGCTCCTGACAAATGCAGGACACCTCTCTTAACCTCTGAAGTATGTATAGCTCCTGACAAATGCAGGACACCTCTCTTAACCTTCAAGGTATGTATAGCTTTTGACAAATGCAGAACAACTCTCTTAACCTCTGAAGTATGTATAGCGACTGATGAATGCAGGACACCTCTCTTAACCTCTGAGGTATGTATAGTGACTGATGAATGCAGGACATCAGTCTAAACTTTTGAGGCTTACATAGCCTCTGGCAAGAAGATAAGCTATGATTGGCTACAGAGGTATTTTATATAAGAATAACTGTTATTGGCTACAAAGGCATGAGATGAAGGAAAATCAATTGGCTACAGAGGTGTGTTATGAAGGAAGATTAGCTTATTTTGGCTTCACATTGATAAGACTTAGGAAACAGGACTCTGATTGTCTACATGTATGTGAAATAAAGGAAAATTGACTCTGATTGACTGCAGAAATGTAAAAACATTATGTATGGTATTCCAAAATATCAGTAGTATTTCTGAATGTTTACGTCTAAAACTTTAATTGTTGAATAGTAATTTTACATCAATATTTTTTTGTTACAGATATTTTGTTGGGAGTTCCCTACAAAAATTCTGGGGTGTCACGCTATTTCATCAGGAACCAGCAGAGAACAATTTCATTTGCTGTCACTATTGTGTTGAAGAAGAATGATCAGAAGTAAGTATTGATGGTCATTGTTATTTCCTATTATCCTAGTAAACATTAAACATATTTCAACATATGTCCAGTTTTTGAGATGTACCAACAATTCAAATTTTCTCTTTGTAATACTTACCTGTTTAATTAAGTGTTGTAATGTTATCAGGTTTATAGATGCCTTGAAGAACAAACTTGTGCTGGCGTTCCCAGATACACTGAAGAATGTCAATAACACAAACCCAGAACAGTTAGTACATGTCCACTACAAGGAGAATCGGATTCTGTTGGAGTACAAACCCCTCATACTGACCTACATAGCTTTGGCTATGTATCTGTACTTCTCTGTTCGTGAGTATATCCAGAATCAATTTTAAACATTACTCTTCCCTTGTGATAAGGAATGCTTGAGTGTAGAGAAACAAAGGATGGAGAAATAACATTCTTGGCTTCTGATTATGGAAGATTAAGTGTAACTTGTTGGTAAGATGCCTGATATATACAGCATTAATGTTAAGAGTAAAATTTCTTCTGTTTTTTGATAAGGAGTGCTTTAACTCCAGTGTCAATATCCAATATGTCATGTAAAAAATATTGTTAAAATTTCTTGGGGATTATAAATGCTTAACTTCTGGAGGAAGAGATGTTACCATAAGTAGATAGTGAATGGTGTCATTAGTTACCGATATGTAGTTGGTGTGATGTCATCAGTTACTGTATGTAGATACTATATGCTGTCATCAGTTACCATATATAAATAGTGTATGATGTCAATAGTTACCATATGTAGATAATGTGTGATGTCAATAGTTACCATATGTAGATAGTGTGTGATGTCAATAGTTACCATATGTAAATAGTGTATGTCAATAGTTACCATATATAAATAGTGTATGATGTCAATAGTTACCATATGTAGATAATGTGTGATGTCAATAGTTATCATATGTAGATAGTATGTGATGTCAATAGTTACCATATGTAGATATTGTTTGATGTCAATAGTTACCATATATAAATAGTGTATGATGTCAATAGTTACCATATATAAATAGTGTATGATGTCAATAGTTACCATATATAAATAGTGTGTGATGTCAATAGTTACCATGTGTAGATATTGTTTGATGTCAATAGTTACCATATGTAGATAGTGTGTGATGTCAATAGTTACCATATATAAATAGTGTATGATGTCACTAGTTACCATGTGTAGATATTGTTTGATGTAGTAAGATTTTGGCATGCTTTCCTTGTAAGAAATCAAGGTAATAATAATTTGTAAATCTTGTAAATTGGTAACCTTTTTACTTTTTTGACCTTTTAGGAAAAATAGAGATGGTGAAATCCAAGTGGGGCCTAGCTCTAAGTGCAGTGGTGACAATAGTGTCATCTCTCCTCAGTTCTGTCAGCATTTGTACTGTGTTTGGACTAACACCAACACTCAATGGAGGGTAAGTATATGTAGTTCATTTACCAGCATATTGTTTAGATGCAGTCAGCTAATTTCCATTGTCAATTTAAATACTTAAAATGTTTAATTATTGATGATATTGTGACAGAGATAATTTTTTATTTCAATGCCTCAACTAGGATTCAAACCTGGGATGATTTACTGTAAACCAGTCTGACATTCAAGTGATTGAACTTAAGAGAAGTATTGTTTTTGCTAGGGTTACAATATTGATACCTAATTTTTCAATTTCTGCAAAAAGTTTTTAAAACCTATCTGTTGGCTCCTATAGTCATACATTGTTATATTTAATACACCTATCTGTAGGTTCCTATTGTCATACTTTGTTATATATAATACACCTATATGTAGGTTCCTATTGTCATACTTTGTTATATTTAATACACCTATCTGTAGGTTCCTGTTGTCATACTTTGTTATATATAATACACCTATATGTAGGTTCCTATTGTCATACTTTGTTATATTTAATACACCTATGTGTAGGTTCCTGTTGTCATACATTGTTATATATAATACACCTATGTGTAGGTTCCTGTTGTCATACTTTGTTATATATAATACACCTATATGTAGGTTCCTGTTGTCATACTTAGTTATATATAATACACCTATGTGTAGGTTCCTGTTGTCATACATTGTTATATTTAATACACCTATATGTAGGTTCCTGTTGTCATACTTAGTTATATATAATACACCTATGTGTAGGTTCCTGTTGTCATACATTGTTATATATAATACACCTATATGTAGGTTCCTATTGTCATACATTGTTATATTTATATTTAATACACCTATATGTAGGTTCCTGTTGTCATACATTGTTATATATAATACACCTATATGTAGGTTCCTATTGTCATACATTGTTATATTTAATCGGGGTGACTATTGATTTTAACTGTACCAGTGACCATTGCAATAATATCACAATAGTTCTTTTACCTTTATGATATATTTTACTAACCAAGAATTAAAGCAAAGTAAGTAACGTTTTAGATTTATCAGAATGGTCAATTGAGCAATTGTTATTGCGGAATATTACATGTTGCATGCTGTGAAATATGGGGTGAGACTATGCAATATTGTTTTTGTATAAGTCTATGTTTAACAATAAATTTAGTATAAATTATCTCTTCATATTAGATATTTTTTATGCCATTAAATGTGAATAATTATTTCAACAGTAATGTAATAAATTAATTTAGATAGTAGTTTTGACACACTTCAGATTTTCAGGGCAGTTATATAAAAGATTTGTATATACATACTATTGAAAATTTATATAAGAAAGACAATTTGGTTGATTCTGAGTAGTATTGAAAAATTGAAAAGAACTAAAATATTGAACATTAAGCAATTTCCTTTATACAGTAGAAGTTTTACTTTTTGGATCAGAATTTTTGGAATTTCATTGGGGTTTTTTATGTAGTCATTTTATAGAGTTAATTCAGGAATGTCAGTCATAATTCTGTGGAATTCTTGTCTGTCTCATATAGAGAGATAAGTGATTTTTGTATATAAGATTATGTAATGTTTTATCACTATTAAAATGGTCTGGTAACCAAGTGATATCAGGATTTCTATAGTAGAATGTCCTAGAGTTAATGTGAATATAGGTTCATTTGACATAACTTTTCACAGCTTTCATGAGGTATTACAAAATGTTTTGTGATTTGAAGATTTATAAATACACCTCTATAAATTGGTCATTGTTTGTAATGTTTTATTTTTTCAATATTGCATTACAGTGAGATCTTTCCCTACCTTGTGGTACTGATTGGTGTGGAGAATGTGATGGTCATCACCAAATCTGTTGTGTCTACTCCTGTCACCCTCGAAGTAAAGCATAGGATAGCTCAAGGTAAGCTGTCACCCTCAAAGTAAAGCATAGGATAGCCCAAGGTAAACTGTCACTTCAAAGTCAAGCTAAGGTTGGCCCAATGTAAACAGTCGCTGTCAAAGTCAATATGGTTAAGCATTTCACTTTCAAATTGAAGCATAGGGTGGTCCAAAGTAAGCTATTGTCTTGGAGTCAAGAGTAGGATAGCCCAAGGTAAACTGTCACCCTCAGAGTCAAGAATAGGATAGCCCAAGGTAAACTGTCACCCTCAGAGTCAAGAATAATTTGTCAAAATGAGAACATTCTTCAAGGTTTGGGTCAGGCCACAAAATCTAAATCTGAGAATGAGATATTGAATGTGATCAACATTCACATTTGATTGAGTGTGGAGAATTTATTTTTAGGTATCAGTAAAGAGGGCTGGTCCATCACTAAAAACCTGGCAACTGAACTCATCATCATCATATGTGGCTTTTTCACCTTTGTGCCAGAAATACAGGTAAACACATTTAGTTGTATCTAACTCTTTATTCAGTCAGGTGTTAAATTTTCTCTGATTTCGCAAATGTGACTTCACGGTCACAAGGTAATAAAAATGACAATGGTGATACTACAAATTCTTTATTAAAGAAAAAAGTTTACTTTAACAAGCATTGGTTTGTCATTGAAATTATTTATAATAAAACTGCACTGAGCTGTCTTTTATTACAATAAACCTTTGTTTTAGGAATTCACATTGTTTGCCTTGGTGGGTCTTCTCACGGATTTCTTCCTCCAGATTGTTTTCTTTGTCACTGTGCTCTCCGTTGATATCAGGAGGATGGAGGTAAGAAACATTTTTATAGTAGGTAGGTAACTCATATTTATGTATTAGGAGATAGATATTTGGTAACAGTGTTGTATTTTGATCCCCCCACCCGTTTTATAGTACCCATGTCCATCTGCTTGTGTCCCATTTTGAATACCTTTAGAACCTCTAAACAAATCTTGCGTCAGGGTCACTAGTCAATAAAGAGTCAAAGGTCACATTTGACATATTTTGCAAATACAACAAACCATAATACATATATGCATGGGATTAGGGGTATTTGTGTCATTTAGACATTTTCTAGTCACTCACAATTTCTCTTGGACCTTAAGTGGAATATCTTTGAAGTTACTGCATGTGTTCATGACAGAAATTTTAGTCAGTAATACATGTAAATGGATGAGAGTTCAGGTTTTGTAGAATGAATGAAAAATGAGGCCATTTTGTTATCATTATCTTCCTAGTTATCTGATCTAAATAAAAAACCTCTGAGCTCGTCTGTGAGTTCAGTTGGGGAGAGCAAGCAGTATGAGCCGCTGATCCGTTGTCCAGTAAAGGCTTATATAGGACATAACAGAAGCCCCCACATACAAACGACACCTACGACATCCTCTACCCAGGAAGCTCCAAGGTCACCTCCCATCACTCCACGAGAAATCGACCAGTTCTTTGAAAATGCAGCCATTAATATTCAATCACGACGCCTAAGATTACTGTACTTTTGGGCCAGCACTAGAATGGTACAGAGGATGATCATGGTAAGATGCTGTATTTGTAATTTGATACATTAATGTAAATCACTAATATTTTTTTGTTATTTTTGGATTAATATGCAAGGAGAGTTATTCAGGAATTAAAATTTTTACAGAAATGATTCTTGATGATGTCCATACTGATTTTGTTACTGATACCGGAGTCCATATAGTTAATAGCATCAAATCATTCGCTAATTTAAAGCCATTTCTAGATCACCATTCACGAAATCATGTATTCATGAATATGTCTAAAGAGGTTAGTTTGCGAAATAAAGTATTCATGAAATCTAAGTGAGTCACAGTATATTTACATATAGCTGCTAAAATTGACCTTAACATTATCCTATCAACCTACACATAAAATTTCATGTTACCTGGTACTGTAGAAAAGATGTCCTGTACATGCAGGCCAACACAAGTCATAGATTTATAGCTCATACCCACAAATTAAATCCTTTATTTCAGAAATGTTTACCAGTTTGTTTTCATATGTTTATTGATGTTATGTTGTAGGTGTGCACAGTAATCTGGATCTCTCTCATTGTGTATAAATCAGGTCTCGTTGAACACCTTACAAACTCTACATCCATGATAAATCTATCATCTTATGAAAGTATTGATAAAGGGAGACTACCAAGTCAGCATCACCTTCAACACAATGGCCACCACAAGGAGGATGCTGGCATTGGGTGGTCATGGCAACCAGGAGAAGAAGAAGACACGCGTCCTGTGGAACATACACAGTTTGATCTATGGAGACAATTGAACTATAAACACTGGCCAACTCTGTTTGGTTATTATAACATAACTTTGTATGGAAAGTAAGTTCTCAAAAACTCTTTGTTTAATGTATATATTATGAAAATTTTGATATCTGTCACCACTTTTGCTTTCCTTAGTATGTATTTATGATATTTCATACAGTGATACATTGTTGGTGGTGGATAAATGGTGAATATACGGATCACATGATTGAAAGTCAAGGTGAACATGAGTACTGGGTATCTTGGCCGTCATTTTGTTTGTAAAATGTTTAGAAGCAAAGTTAATGCTGGTTACAATTAAAAATTAGTCAATTGTCAAGATTACTGCATCAGATGTCGGAGATAGTCTACATAACATGTACTTGTTAGAGAGAACACAGAGATAGTCTGCAGAACATGTACTTGTTAGAGAGAACACAGAGATAGTCTACATAACATGTACTTGTTAGAGAGAACACAGAGATAGTCTACATGACATGTACTTGTTAGAGAGAACACAGAGATAGTCTACATAACATGTACTTGTTAGAGAGAAGACAGAGATAGTCTACATAACATGTACTTGTTAGAGAGAAGACAGAGATAGTCTACATAACATGTACTTGTTAGAGAGAACACAGAGATAGTCTACATAACACTTGTTAGAGAGAACACAGAGATAGTCTACATAACATTTACTTGTTAGAGAGAACACAGAGATAGTCTACAAGAGAACACAGAGATAGTCTACATGACATGTGTTTGTTAGAGAGAACACAGAGATAGTCTACATAACATGTACTTGTTAGAGAGAACACAGAGATAGTCTACATAACATGTACTTGTTAGAGAGAACACAGAGATAGTCTACATAACATGTACTTGTTAGAGAGAACACAGAGATAGTCTACATAACATGTACTTGTTAGAGAGAACACCAGACATATAATTGTTGATCTGTTAGCAGTCTAATGAATTAAGTGTTTATGAAATCAGAGTTTACATATAAACTGGGAATAAAACATCTAACATTGTGTGTGTTATCCTTCAAAATCAAGAGTGAAAGGGTGTTTTAGGGGGTCACCAAGGACGAAGACCTTATAATTACTTCTGTTATCTGTATGTATGTAGATGATGTTCTATGTTACGTTTGAACATTAGTTTGACTATATTAGAGCCTTGATTTCATTTTGAATACTGATCAAAAGTAAAGAGATATATGATTCATGCATTATACATGTTTTTAGCAGATTCTGGTATGGTCAATATTATGTTAATATGAAATGGTCAGGTAAGTTGGCAGCACAGGTTATATCTTATTGAATTCTGTTTCAGATTTATCAGCATTTTACCCACAATTCATCTGTCTGTGATAGTCGACCCACAGGAAGCCATAGACATGCGTCATCCAACAGAACATGATGGCAGTCCATCCAAACCAATCATTCCACCGTTTGACAAATCTCAAGAACCCTCTTCTTTACCTGTAGATAAAAGTGAAGTACAAGACTTTAATGAACTTTCTGCCTGGTATTTACGTAATTATGCTGACACTGAGCACATCAAACAGCTTTATCCTAAATCCTATAGAGAGGTGATCATTACTGTCTTTATCGTCATTCTTGGATTTATCTGCATCAGTTACTTTATCATAGCATGTTACCACAAATTGTGTCCTCGTGATTATGGACGTCGCAAATCTAAGAGCAAGACAAGAAAGAAGGGCATGTACTATAAACAGATTAAGGAGTCTGTCCCCAAAGTTTTACATGGTCATGTACAGGTTAGTATTAGATGTATATCATAACTTAAAGAATCTATCCTCAAAGTTTTACACAGCCACATACAGATAAGCTGTAAACATGCATTATTAGCTTTTTAAAGAGTCTGTCCCCAAAATTTTACGATAATCTGTAAACATACATTATAAGCTTATTAAAGAGTCTGTCCCCAAAGTTTTACACAGTCATGTACAGAGAAGATGTAAACATGCATTATAAGCTTATTAAAGAGTCTGTCCCCACAGTTTTACACAGTCATGTACAGAGAAGCTGTAAACATGCATTATAAGCTTATTAAAGAGTCTGTCCCCACAGTTTTACACAGTATAGATAAGGAATAACAAAGTATTACAAAGATATTTACACTAGTTTTAGATTTAATGCCATAAAAAATGTAATTATTGTACTTATTATTTATCTGTTGTTCTTAGGTCAATAAGATTAACAAAAAACCTGTTGGTGTTTTTCATTGTAGGAGATAGAATGTGTGGTAACTGATGGTCACTTCATTATCAGCTCCTGTCTTGGTGGTCAGATCCGTGTATGGGACTCGGTGTCCGGAGACTGCCTTATGTCAATCATAAGAAAAAGGTTGGTGGTTGTTGGATGTGTGAACTAAATGTGTCTTTGTTGTGGATGGGTGTGTCTTAGTTTTTGTGGATGGATGATGAATGGGTGTTAAGGCAGATGATTGACTTTGGTTGGATGTTATGGATGGTGTGGATGGGTGTTTCTTAGTTGTTGTGGGTAGATGATGAATGGGTGTTAAGGCAGATGATTAATTTTGGTTGGATGTTATGGATGGTGTGCATGGGTGTGTCTAGTTGTTGTGAGTGGCATGTAGGAAAATGATTGTTCTGGGAGTATGTTATTGGACATGGGGTAGGTATATATAAATGGTGTTGATGGATGTTTGATGAATGTTTGGTGGGCATGTTGGTAGATGGCTATTTCTGGGTGAATGTTATTGGTGATGGGGAAGATGAGTTTATTTGGTGGAGATGGATGTTAGGTGGGTTTGTGGGTATATGTCTGATTCTGGGAATGTTGTTGGAGATGGGGAAAGTGTGTCTAGTTGATGTAAGTGTCTAGCTGTGTGTGTATATAGTTGATGTTTGGAGGATGTATAAAGAACAATCACTTTGTCTAATGGAGCTGATGTGTTATGCTTTGTTGAAGTAGATACGAGTTAAACGCCTGATTTTATAGATTCTTTCATTTCATTAAAAATAATTAAGTCTTTTTAATTGTGCACTGTAAGTTTGCTTTTTTTCTATATTTTAGTGCTACTCCACCTGTTAAGAGAAAGCCTTGTGTGGGCCGTAACATTGAGGACAGTGATGCTGACTTGTATGATGAATATCATGGTGACAGTAGCTCTGCATCCATTGATACATCTTTATACCAGGTGGAGGGAAGTGACGTTAGCCTGAGTGGAGGGCCCCGTCATCGTGGTCGCAGCAACGTGAAACATCCAGGCGATGCTTGTCGCAGAAATATTTTTAGTTTTGAGCCAGATTTGAATAGTACCATAGACACAAACTTTACGGCTGTAAACTCGCCTGAAAGTGCACATAAAAACTCAACATTGAATAAGGCAAATAACTCTAACTTAAGCCAAGGTAGTGTTTCAGCAGGGAGTATAAGTAGTTTATCCTCATTATCTCCTGGAGGTGATGCTTTTGCAGGTACACCTTCCCCTGGAGGTAGAGAGACTGGCACTGTTCGTGCTGGATATGCCTATGACTTCAGCAGTAGGTTTGATCATATTTACCGAGATCACAGACAGATGGTGATGGAGAATCGAGCTGGTACAGGGGACAGTAACTCACAGATGTGGGAGGATAGTCGTGCACGTAGTTGGAGTGCAGGTAACTACGCTTAACACTGTAAATGGCAACCATTTTAGTTATGTATATAAGGTACCTGTTTGGTGGTTTTGCATGTCATGTTCGGTGTTGTTGGTAAGAACTTATATATTATAGGTATTTAAAATCAGTGAGTCTCTCTACCATATTAGCAGTATAGAGTGGTCTGGTGGTGCAGTGGTCAGGCACTTGCCTTTCAACTAGACATCCAGGTTTTGATTTCCAGAACGGATTTGAAAAAGTATTAGGTCACCTGCGTGACCACGTAGGTTCCCAGTGTACCTCAGTTTCCTCCAATAGTAAGACTCCTAGCACTCTTCCTTCCGGGCCAACGAGAGTGATTGATATAAGTTGGAAAAACTTCTACAGATGATGATATAAAAATTGAGTCTTGAGCACTATGGATTTTGGTTGTGTTGATAAGCCAATCACCATCTTCTGCTGCGGTATCTCATTAATTGCCTTTATCCCCTCAGATTAAATTCCAAATCCCTCTCTGTAACTTATCAAAATCTGAGTTTTTTCGTGCAGTGAAAGACACATTTGTTACCTTATTGACATTTACCATGATGTTTATCTCCAGGTGATCTCCCTATCACTCAGCAGCATGATGCCAGTCTGTTTGACACTGGATTTCAGGACAACCAGGCACCGTCAGTGTGGTGTATGACGTGTAATGATGGACTCATTATTGCTGGCTGTGGCAACGGACGAATAGAGGTAAGAAATCGGGTTAAAAAGGGAAAATATGAAAGCGAAATCTAGAATTTTTTTGCTTTGGCACAGGCACTTTTTATGACAAAAATGGTGAAAAGTTAAAAAAGAGAAAAAAGAAAAACAGGTGTATCCACTTTTAAATCTATTTCACATTTGAAAATTTATACAAATTGAAATATGTATAAATCTATGCAATGTTTTAATAATTGTGCAACTCTCATTTTCATGGATAAATGCCAATAAGAATTTTAATCTACAGAAAATTCCTTGTAGACTCGAGAAGTCATGCAAATTTTAGATGATGTTTGCAGAAATTATTAACCTGTCTCAGGACTAGCAGAGTTAAATTTCTTCATTGGGAGAGATTTGCCTCCTACACCTGCCATTTCAATACCTGTCAAAATACCTGATTATTTATCAATGCTTATGCACTATGTTACAGTTTTGGGATGGAGGGTCAGGGACCCTAAAATGCCTGCATGGTGACAGTAAGGAAGGTGTGACAGCCCTATGCTATATCAGAAACCGGTAAGCCAGTAAGGAAATCCAGAATTTTTGCTTTAAGCTCAGTATTGCATCAGAGGTGCTTTAGGTTTGCCCTGTTTATTCCTAAACTTTCATAACTCCATATTTGGATCTAATTCTTCTGTACTATGTATCTTACACCCATGTGAGAATTCACTTTGATGATAACACAATTTTGAGAATAGTTACCAATGCAACCTTCATCTTCTGCTGAATTGACTTCGGTTTGATTCAATTCCTTGCTTCATTTCCTACCAATGAAAGTAGAAATAGGGACTTCTAAGTCTTGTACGAATTTTCCTGTTTTTTATTTTTTGATTATTATTGTTAGATTAAATTTGATGAAGAGATAGAGAAGGAAATCTTGTTGATTCTTTATCCATTAAAAAAATACTGAATTTCCAATTCCTTTGCAGGGTTGTTGCTGCACGTCTTGACGGTACTATTGACTTCCTGGAAATGGAAACTTTCCAGAACCCAATCCAGCCACCTCATGTTCCTCCTCCAAGCAGTCCAGCCAAAGGACATGTGCGGAACTACAGCCAGTCTCACATCAACCACAGTCCCAATAAGAAACCAGGACATGTCCGTAACCACAGCCACACCTATGTCCCACCCACCATGAACCACACCATCCCAGCTCCTACCAATATGAGAAAATGGGAAGAAATCATTCATGTAACCCTAATTCAACGAATCAAAGCCCACCAGCAACCAATTGTATCGTTACAGTGTCAGGGAGGGCGTGTCGTGTCTGCTAGCTCTGATCACACTTTAAAGGTAAGCAGTATTGTCACAATGAGTTAAACAGGAATGAATATTGAAAGACTTCACTTTGAATTAGTCTCCACCCAACCACAATTATTGGCCATTTGATGTGACTGGAATAGTATTAGAACTGGTAGTTAGCCTTGTGCCTTGTTAAGTACAATCTCTAATAAGAAAAGTTCACACATATTTCTATGGAACTCTGTATCTGTATTTCATGGAACCTTGTATTTGTATTTCTGGGCGATGCTGTAGTTATATATCCACTGAACCCAGTATTTATATTTCTATGAAACCCTATACAACAATATTTCAACAGAACACTATTCAAATTTCAACAGAACCCTGTATTTGTATTTCTGTGGAACCATGTATTTGTGTATCTACAAAACCCTATATTTGTATATCTACTGAACTGTGTACTTGTATTTCTGTGGAACAATATTTGCATTTCTGTGGAACCATGTATTTGTATATCTACAAAACCCTGTATTTGTATATCTACTGAACTATGTACTTGTATTTCTGTGGAACTATATTTGTATTTCTGTGGAACCATGTATTTTTATGGAGCCCTATATTGTTATTCCTGTGGAAACCTGTATTTGTATATCTATGGAATCTTGTATTTATGTTCTACAGAACCCAGTATTTATATTTCTACAAAACTCGTGCTTTTGCATTTCTGTGAAACCCTGTTTTTGTGTATCTACAGAACCCTGTATTTGTATTTCTATGTAACCCTGTATTTGTATTTCTATGTAACCCTGTATTTGTATTTCTATGTAACCCTGTATTTGTATTTCTATGTAACCCTGTATTTGTATTTCTATGTAACCCTGTATTTCTATTTTTTATGGAACCCTGTATTTATTTCATGTAGAGGATTTAAGACAGTTACATGTAATATGTTTCAGGTATACAAGTTGGAAAGCTGTGTAACGCTGTATACATTACATGGACATGAAGACAAAATTACAGTGTTATATCTAGATAAGGTAATGTGGGACAGTTTGTAACGTCTTAGAGATTTATCAGAGAATGTAGTGGATTTAGCTGACTTTTGCTATGCTACTTATACCTTCTTGAACTCATGAACTTGTTTGAATGTAAAGAAATCTATATATTGTATGTTTCATATAGTAGTTCCATGATGTTCTGCATATGATCCTGTACAAGAACACACAAGGCAACCTGCCCGGTGATAAAATCTCCTGTCCTCAGACATTCCTTGTCATCAAATAATTTCATGAAATTTTTTTTTCTCCAGTTACCACCATATGCAGCAGCAAGCGGCGATGCAGATGGAACTGTCAGACTTTGGGACCTTCCTACAGGGTCCTGTATACACAAGGTCAAAGGTCATGAGGGAAGTGTTGTAGCTTTGACCTGTACTACCAAATATGTGATAAGTTCAGGACTGGATGACCTGCTGGTCATTTGGGATCGAAGTAAAGGAAATATTGTCCACTGTCTCAGTATGGTAAGTTAATACAAGTTCAGTTCACATGCTATTCTCAAAATGGTTCAAGAGATGGTTCAACAAATTCTATACAGATTTAAAAACATCTTTGTTGTATGTTTTTTCCTCTGAGAAACTTATCTGTGGATATTGTTTGTTCAAGACATGGTAATTAAATTGTTGTTGAATTTAGCCCACCATCATCAGATCATCAGATAGTGGGCTATTCAATTCACCCTGCATCCGTGGTCTGTTCACCTGTCTGTCAGTCCGTAAACAATTTTTGTTATCACTATTTCTTGAGAAGTACTAGATGGATCTTTCTCTAATTACATATGTAGGTTCCCCTTGATCCTTAGTTGTACCCGTTTGATTTGGGTACTGATAAGAAAAAACAAAATGGCCAATTGGCAGAAATTTTGGATTTTGCCTAGTAAAGATTGTTATACCTATTTCTTTATAAGTACTAAATGGATATCTCTCAAATTTCATTTGATATCCTTTTTTGGTTTCGCCTTGTGCCCATATGATTTTGTGACTGATCAAAAGAAATAAAATGGCTTCCAGGTGGCCATTTTGGATTTGGCAGGTAAAGATTATTATCACAATTTCTGCAAAGAAATGTTCAAATGTCTTAGCATTAAGAGCAAAAAAAGGGAAGAGAAGAGAAAAGAAGGGAAAAGATCCATCTTTCAAAGAGCAAATAAAGATCAAACAATGGTGGGTGCCAAGATCCCTCTGGGATCTCTTGTTTGACAGTATATGGTGATTATATAATGTTACAAGTAGAGTTAATTGCCAGTATATACTTCTCTCATTAATGAGAAATTGACAGTTGGTATATTATGGCTACAATGCTGAGAATTATTCAGATTGACCAATCAAATGTCCTGTTACATTTTCAGTAAATTAGAATGACCAATTACATGTTGTGTTTTTGTCTGTCTTAGGACCCGTGTGGGAACAACAGCCTGTCACTGCTGAACAACAACTTACTGGTAACAGGGGGACAGGTAAGTTTCAAATATAAATAGATAATTCTTCTGTTTAACATAATAAATATTTTTTCTTGTAAGTTTTCAATCTTGAAGCTAACTGAGTGATTTCATTTTTACAGGGGTGTATCAACTTATTGGATGTCAGTAAGGGTGAAATCCTCCGTACAGTTTATCTCAGTGATTCGGAACGGATGGCATTTGTGAATCAGATAAAGGTGGTTGACAACACAGTAATAGTGTGTGATTATGCCAGCGAGATGAAGGTCATACACTTCCCTACAGTACTCGAGAAGGCTGACTAGAGTACTGTTACAGATTCATTACATCACGGAAGAATGCAGATTTGAATAGCACATGACAATGCTGAAGACTTCTAAGATAGAAGAATCTTCTACAGGCAGATTAGAATTATTCACCGCAGTGTTGGAGAAGGTAGATAGAATAATTCACAGCAGTGTTAGAGGAGGCAGATCAGAGTAATCCACAACAGTGCTAGAGAAGACAGATTAGGATAATCCCCAATAGTGCTAGAGAAGGCAGATTAGGATAATCCACAACAGTGCTAGAGAAGGCAGATTAGAATAATCCACAACAGTGTTAGAGGAGGCAGATCAGAGTAATCCACAACAGTGCTAGAGAAGACAGATTAGGATAATCCCCAATAGTGCTAGAGAAGGCAGATTAGGATAATCCACAACAGTGTTAGAGAAGTCGGATCGGAATAATCCACAGCAGCGTTAGAGAAGGCAGATTAGGATAATCCACAACAGTGTTAGAGGAGGCAGATCAGAGTAATCCACAACAGTGCTAGAGAAGACAGATTAGGATAATCCCCAATAGTGCTAGAGAAGACAGATTAGGATAATCCACAGCAGTGTTAGAGAAGGCAGATTAGAATAATCCACAACAGTGCTAGAGAAGACAGATTAGGATAATCCCCAATAGTGCTAGAGAAGGCAGATTAGGATAATCCACAACAGTGTTGGAGAAGGCAGATAAGAATAATCCACAACAGTGTTAGAGAAGGCAGATTAGAATAATCCACAACAGTGTTAGAGAAGGCAGATTAGAATAATCCACAGCAGTGTTGGAGAAGGCAGATTAGAGTAATCCACAGCAGTGTTGGAGAAGGCAGATTAGAATAATCCACAGCAGTGTTAGAGAAGTCAGATTAGGATAATCCACAAAAGTGTTAGAGAAGGCAGATTAGAATAATCCACAACAGTGTTAGAGAAGGCAGATCAGAGTAATCTACAACAGTGTTAGAGAAGTCAGATCGGAATAATCCACAGCAGCGTTAGAGAAGGCAGATTAGAATAATCCACAACCGTGTTGGAGAAGGCAGATTAGAATAATCCACAGCAGTGTTAGAGAAGTCAGATCGGAATAATCCACAACAGTGTTAGAGAAGGCAGATTAGAATAATCCACAGCAGTGTTAGAGAAGTCAGATCGGAATAATCCACAGCAGTGTTAGAGAAGGCAGACTAGGATAATCCACAACCGTGTTGGAGAAGGCAGATTAGAATAATCCACAGCAGTGTTAGAGAAGTCAGATCGGAATAATCCACAACAGTGTTAGAGAAGGCAGATTAGAATAATCCAAAGCAGTGTTAGAGAAGGCAGTTCATGAATAGAATGGGACCATTATATGTACTGTAGCAGGTAAATTAGAAAAGAGAATTTGTGTACGTGAAAGAGTAGATCATGATATTACACTACCATACACCTAAGAAAGACTAAAGGAAGATCATGCATGGTATTCCTATAGTAGAACAGTTCTGTACAATACGGAAGAAGGTAGACTTGCAAAGTAGATTTCCATACAGTATGGGAAAAGGTACACCAAGATGGCACACCGATGAGAATGCAGCTAAAGATCCTGGTGTCATAAGGCAGCCAAATTCATAAATCAATTCAGAAGTACATGTATAAGTATCATTGTTCATAATGAACTGCTTATTCAGTTGGAGATTACAGAATTTAGAACAAAAATCAATTTTTAAATTTCAGCTACTCATTTGCTGTTCTAACTAAATAGGTGATATTTTTTCATTGCAATCAACATATTGGAAAAGATTGGTCTTATCATAGACTTTGTATTAGTATTTCAGTGCTTAAAGATTTGTGTTTTTTTGAGTGATTTTTAGCCTGGAATCAAATCACATATCTTGCCCATGTACATTGGGGTTCTTTCATTTCTTGGGGTCTATGACTTATGGCTCTCACCAAATATAGACTTTATAGTTTTATTTTTTCTTTCAATCAAAGAAATAAATAATGTTTACACTGCTTCAGTATTACATATAAATAAGATAGTATGCAGAAGTGTTTCAGTTAAATGTATGTTATCTAGTTGTAAGCAACATTTTTGTTATTGAATTTTTTTCCGATGAACAATAAATCCTCCATTAGAAGGGGGATATATCATAGAATTCCTTCTTATCGTTATTAAGATTTGCATGAATATTTATGTACATAATCATGTATTTATATTTCTTTTACTTATTGAAGTACCAAGTACATACAATAGGTATTTAAAGATAAAAAAGTAACAATCCTGAAGAACTTCTGGGGTTAACTTTAAATTGAAGTTAGAGTTGCAAGTTTCAGAAGTGAGATTATATGGAGGAACTGCTAGTGTTTAAGCCAAATTGCACAGCTTCTTTGGTGATATGTACTCGGGCCTATTGGTAGACAAAGTGGGTCATAGAGACTTTATATACAACATTTTATACACCTGTTGGATGGATTCTGCAAATACATCAAGGCCATAAAAGGCTCAGTAAAGGCTTGGTAGAAAGTAGAATAAGATACCCAGGCCATAAAAGGCTCAGTCAAGGCTCGTTAGAAAGCAGAATTAGATACACATGCCATAAAAGGCTAAGCCAAGGCTCGTTAGAAAGCAGAATAATAAGATACTCCATAAAAGGCTCAGTAAAGGCTTGGTAGAAAGCAGAATAAGATACACAGGCCATAAAAACACGCAAGAAAGCAAAATAAGATACACAGGCCATAAAAGGCTCAACCAAGGCTCGTTAGAAAGAAAAAGATACACAGGCCTTAAAGGCCCAGTCAAGGCTTGTAAATTTTGTGGACACAAATAGCCTTAGGCATTTTTTATCAGTTTACCTTTGTGTTTTTAACATCACCAGATGTTTTTTAATTGCTGTGGTATTTCAATAGATTGTTTCTTATAGGTGAGTGTGTGATTTAAATAGAATAGTTCCAGAATTTTCCTTTAGTAGGAAAACATAAATATTCTAGATGTAACCCCAGAAAGTTGGTGATGCAAAGTAAACCCAGAGAGATGGGAAAATGAATGGTGCTGATAGAACACTCAGATGTACATATGGCTTGTTTCAGAAGTTGTTATTTTTGTGTGTGCATTTCATGAATGTATCGTGAGTCAGTTGGCCGTCCTTCAAGATTAAATCCAATGCCCTTTTTCAAAAGTGAACTTGATATTACTAGAGTATATGTAAACACACTACTAAACCTATCTATTTTCATACTCTGCATGGCCAGAATATCTTTGACATTTGATTTTTTTTTTGTTTTTTTTTTAAAACTTTGTTTTGTTTTTGTTGATGTGAAAATATGTAACGATAAATTAGTTGTTTTTTCAGATAAGTGCTAGGGAGTTTCCTTTTTTTTTCATTTCTTTATTCCCCCCCCCCCCCCTTATTTTTTCCTCATTTGGAGTATTTTGAAATGGCAATTCTTCAGCAGAATATTCTGTTTTTTGTCATTTTATACTAAATGGCTACACCAAAAAGTGTGCTCTTGATAAAACCCTCATTGATATATCTATTAAAAGATGTCATTATTTCTTAAAGATCAAGCCTTCCTTTGTTTATAAATATCTAAATAGTTTCATACTGTGTAGAATTTAGAATCTAACATATAAATGTTGACTTTTAGTTTCTTGTAAATCATTATCATCAACACATATTACCAATACAATGTCAGAACACCATATTTACATACAGTTTGAATATCCCAACCAGTCAAAATCTTATTTTTCTTATGAAGTTGGTGTGATACAAAAATATGGCCACATATTAAATTTATGATTGGTTGTGTTATTTAAAATTCTTTACATAACAATATGCTATACTTAATAATGTGTATACATTGTAATACATATTACATACATGTCACATATAGATGAATGCTTATTAGAGTTGGATCTTTTTTTAGTTACAGCATTTTGAGTGGATTCCTGTATAACCCCATAAAGTTAGTAGTAGCCATTTTTATGTGTGCTTTGAATTGATAATCATGGGCAGCTAGTTCCATTTTAAATAAATATTATTAAGAATGTCTAAATTTTGTATTAATTTTGATGACTTTTTTTTTTTTTTTTTTTTTGTCATTCCAACATCATCAGTAAATAGTAGTGATTTTATATCCATGTTGCAATATTAACCAATACTGTTCTGTACAGGAAAAACCTGAAAACATTTTCTATGATGTTAAATCTTGTTTGTAATGATTATGTACAGAAGTTTGAAGTACAAAATTGTTTGTTTTGATCATTTGTTGGGTATTTGTTGTTGTCTAGTTATTTGATTAATTTATTGAATTGTATATGTCGAGAAATGTTTGTGAAATATTGTTAATGATCAAATCTAGTTTTAGGACAAGAAACATTGCTTCTGTTTCAAATCTTACCCATGGTTTTAATGATATTGTAAACCCACCATATTGACTTGACAATGCTTGAAAACCAGTTTTGTCACCACCTTTTATGGCTTAGGGTTTTAGAACCTCATAATAGGGAGTATTGATCAAATATATTAACTGTCTTTTAAGACTGATGGTTCCATTAAATTTACAATTATACTCTCTATCAGAGTTGTTTCCCCTGATGATAGACTTTCTGTTGATACTTTTAGTCGTCCATCTGTTTGTAAGTTGTTTTTTTTCATCACAATTTTGTGAGAAGATGGATCTTTTTCAGATTGATTATGTAATTTCCCCCTTATCGATAATTGTGCCCTCTTGATTTTGGGACTGATCAGAAAAACAAATTGGCAGATTGTGGCCATCTTGGATTTTGACAATGGAAATTTGTTATTTATTATTATATAACTCTTCCTGAAATTTTATTTTTTGTAGTTTCCTCATATGATTCTTAGCTGTACCCTTTTAATTTTGGGACTGGTCAGAAAAACAAAATGGCTGACAGACAGCCATCTTGGATTTGTTAGTTAAAGATTAAAAAGAGCTAAAAACATGTTTTATCATCCTCAGCTGTTTTTATTAATAGATTAAAGATATTGATTGAAAACCTTTTG